AGGCACGCGGCCGCGTTCCCGCCCGACGCGGGCCCGCCGCCGCCCGACGACACGAGCCTGTGGCCGACCCCCGAGCCGCGCATCCACGGCGGCGGCGGCGGCCAGGGCCCCTTCCAGGCCGGGCCCATCGCCATGGTGAACCGGGATAGCGACGTGGTGCACGAGAGGCGGATGCGGCAGTGGACGCGGGCGCGGGGCCGCATCAGCGCCGCGGGCGGGCTGCCGGCGCACCTGTGCGCGCTGGCCTACATGAGCGACAGCTACTTCATGGGCACGGTGCCGCGCATCCACAAACTCTGGCGCTTCCCCGTGAAGCCCGAGGAGGTGGCGGAGCTGGACGACGAGTCCCGGGCGCACGTCATGGCGCTGCACCGCTTCGACGACGGCGAGCCGCTGGCCTCGTACGTCGGCCGCCCCTCGGTCGGCATGATGGTCAGCCTCGACCACACAATCTACTTCCACGAGCCCCGCCGCGTCCGCGCCGACGAGTGGATGCTGAGCGAGATGGAGAGCCCCTGGTCCGGCGACGGCCGCGGCGTCGTGACCCAGAGGATCTTTAGCAAGGACGGCACCCTGTTGGCCACGTGCTTCCAGGAGGTGAGTTTTTTTTCCCCGGGCCTCTGCTCCTTTCTTTCGCCTGCCATTCTCCCCATCGCCACGTGATTACTGACCCTCCTCGCCTGTCTGCTGTAGGGCTTGGTGCGGCTAAAGCCCAGTGATGCCGAGGTGGAAGAGCCCAAGGCGAAGCTGTGAGGCATATGTGCGCACTTTTTTCACTTCTTCCTTTTTGCCCGAGCCCTGTGGTGGTGGCGCATCCCCGGCCGTAGCAAATTTTTGCTGCAAGGGATATAGATAGGCGTGGTGATGATGTTGTACAGGTAAAGTGTGTGTGGGATTCAATGTGCGGATACATAGACTTTTTTTTTTCTTGGCCCTTCGGAGGACGTCGCAATCTGTTTCCATTTTGAGATGCATTCTCAATATTGCCCCGTCGATACGGCCGTGACGCTCTGAATGGCTGTTCAGGCCTGATGATTTTACCAACAGCCATGCGGGAGGGGGTTGGCCCAAAAAGGAAGGTCACCGCGAGCTTCCCTGGGTTTGGGTGCCGAATGTGGCCTGATGATTCCCATCCCTAGACGCCATCGTTCTAGATGCCCGGGTAGACGGCCTAGCGTACCAGCTGGACGGGACCAGGCGTGTGGTGCGTGTGGCGGCCGTTCTGCTCGGGTTACACGCACATGCGCCCACGCAAATGCAGCCCTGGCGCCTTTCATCTCGGCATGATGTGTAGGGTAGGTAGGCCAATTGTGGCCTGTACAACCGACGATGAGAAATCCGAAAAGAAAAGCCAAAACCCCATCAGACACACAACGGGCGTACTGGACTAGCGTTTGCTTGTCATGGTCAAATCGTACGTTTTGGGGTCGCACAAGGGCCTGCTAACTGGAAGGGAAGACCGCGCGGCTGCCGTCCAGACCCATGAGAGGCGTTCATGTCGGCCTTCAGGCTTCAGCCTCTCGCGTGGTTAAGAAGGGAAAGAAACGCCCGTTTTCTGCAGAGCACCTAGATCAGCGGGTGGGAAGGGGTAGGGGTGTGCTCGGAGTGGCGGCAGAGGTGGCGCACGACGGCCCCATCGGACCCAACCCACCCACCCGCGATGACGCCCAGGGGCCAGGTTGCAAAAAACACGACAGAGCTGAAGGGGCTGGCGGCCGCGCACGCGGGTGCCATGTGGGCGAGGCGATGCAGGGGTTGGATTCGTTCGCGCGGCCGCTCCAGGCGAACAGGGATGTGTCGATAGCCTCCATTCGCAACGACTCAGTGATGGAAGTCGGTCAAATTGAGGGTTTCTACCCTGCCAGGCAGGGGTAGCCGAAAGGGATATGCATGCTGATATGCCGAGAGGGTCCACTCAGCCAGTAAGTCAGGGGCTGCGAGAGCGTCGAGCAGCAATTCTAAGCGAATATGATGCAGCTGCCAGAGACGACGCATGTCACACAGCAAACCTGGTTGTGAGCCTCAATCCCTACGCAGCCACTAGCAAAGAGCTACGAGGCTGGGAAAGGGGTCGGGGTATTCGGAGAAAGGAGATAATATCCCCCGGACAAGCTGTGTCGCCGGAAATGCCGATGGCTGCTGGTTTTGTGAGACATTTTCCCACGCTACGGGGGATCAGGGGGGAGAAAAAGCAAAGAAAGGTGAAAGTCGAGTCGCCGCACCGATGCGTCTAGACCGTGAACCTTCTAGAGGCACCACAATCACAGCCTGGGCAAGCATGACAGCACGATACGGTCCTTTTGCTCGGTCTTGTGGCGGTGAGATGAGGGGATTCGTATAAGGTGAGCATTGGCGATGGGTTGCCTCCCCCGTATTGTGGGCGCTAAACTGGCTTGGCGTATGACTTCCACGCGCACATGTCCGAGAAGAGAAGGTCTGCGCAATGCTAGCCGGTAGACGGTCGTTGGACACGTGGGCCGGCCCTCAGGGTGACCAAGGAGAGGGGATGATCAGGTCAAGTGCCGCCCGGCTGGGTCCGACTTGACGCCTCGGCTATATGGTGGCGTCGTCGATTTCCATGGGCATCAAAACGCGGCGGATGAGGCTTCAGCCGTTCCCGGTTAGAAAGGCGACCTGAGCCTCTCGTTAGGCGAGGGCGGTGAGGGACAAATAGGGGATACATTGGCAGCAGAATAAAAGTAGCGTGCCGGCTGGTTATACGGGTTGATACGTCGTATTTTCTGCACGTCCACGTACTAGCCCCTAGGCCTAGGTCGAGGGCGGCAAAGTTAAAAATTTCCGCATTGGTTTTTGGTGCCTTCGGAATGGTTCCGTTTTTGGGATGGGCGGTTCGGTTCGCACGGCTAGTGGCCGGGCTGGTTTCGCAGCGCAGCCTATCAAGGGAGCTGTTGGGAAATATTGGTGATCAGAAAAGGCCTGGGGTGTGTGCTGATAGCCAGTACTATCGAAGCGTTTACGATCTGGACGACGATGGGGCAAAAAAGGCGATGGAGGGTGGAATGAAGTTGGGCTTGTTGAATTTGCATCTCCCGATTGGGGTTCGTAAAAGCGGGTGGGGGTGCAGACAGTGCAGACACAGCTTGGCGGGGGTGGGCGGCAGTGGGCGGGGCCGATCTGGACGCACCCTTGTCGGCGCTCTGAATCAGAGTCTGGGACTCGATCTGGACAAGGAAGGAAATCTAGATAAGGAAGGAAATCTGGACAAGGAAGGAAGCACCAACTGCCACATCGAGCCACAAGCAACCCTCGTCCACTTCAATAGGTGCTATTTGCATTCAAATTTCAGTGGCATTTGTTTCCCGAAATGTTCGGCTAGCTAGTTGACGCATCTCGGCGGGGGCGAGGGAGAGGCTCCTTGCTTAGCGGCATGTGTTGGTTTGTCTTTGTCCCGGGCTGAGCCACATCCATCATGGTCACAGGCATGGTCACAGGAATGGTCATAGGCAACCGCTGGAGCTGGGAGGCCCATCTGGGCTGGGGGTTGGGCTATCAAACGCGGAATCCCGGCAAGTCATGTGTCTTTTGTCAGTAGACACATGCACCCCCCTCGTGCAGCTATCAACTAGAGGTACTCGGTCATAGCCGGCGTCGTGTTGCTCCCCTGCCTCAACTCTAGTCTCCTCTCAGGCCAAAGGACAAACAGCAAACGATAAACAGTAAACAATAAACAACAAACAATAAACAACAAACAACAAACAACCGGTGTCGGCCTGGGGTTGCTGCCGACCTCCGATGTCAACCACCCCTCCCCCCTGAAAGCGCTGAGTGCTGAGTACCTACCTTCCTGCCCACCTCGACTAGGCAGCTTCGGCTCGCTCTTTCCGCCCACATCTGCGGCGGAGCGAACCGTCCGGCCCATCCCACTTCGAGGGGCCTTGTCCCATCAATAGTACCCTCTCCCGCAGGTACCAGCGCGTTATCGGTACCCTGGCACCGGGCAGGGCCAGCCACAGGTCGCCGGCAGTGGGTGCCACGCCCTGACATACAGCACGTACCGGTACCTCCTGCCTCTGCCTGTCCGGTCCCGAGGCTGTGGTTTGGCTTCTTTCCGCGGGCTTGTCTTGGCGCCACGCTAAAAGACGAACAGCACATCCGGGGCCCTTACCGGTGAGACTGTGCCTCGCCCACCGTCTGCCCAGTGGCCTCTCTCTGGGTTCAGCTGCAATCCGCCGCTTTCTCCAGCCTGGCGCCGGCCCCGACCGGTATCAGGGCAGTCGGCGCCACTGCGGTCGCATCAGGAAACCCCCTCGTCGTGGCTTTACTGCGTCGACTGCCGTCGGAAGAGGGACAAGCTACACTCGACATCCTCCTCCACAGCCACCTGATGACCCTCCATCTCAGCCAGGCACTCTAGGCCCTTCCTTGTCTGGACTCGGTCGCCTCCAGGGATAATCCCTGTTATGTCGTTTTGCTTCCCCTTCCTACTTCTTGCCATCCTTTTAGCAAATACGGGAATCTCCCCGCTACGGTTTCTGGAGATATCTCATTGTCGGTCTCTTTGACACCCTGGCGACCCAGTCCACGGTTCATATATCAAGTGCCCTACCTCAGTACTCCCTCTCACTCTTGACTGGGCTTCCGTGGAGCCCCTGCAATCTCTCCGGCTTCTAGCGTCTACGAGCCTGTTTTTCTAGACCCAACTCGTCAGGGCTAGTCTAGTCCCCTTGTCGGTTTTACACTCATCACCCATACTGTTCTCGGGCAAATTCCGAAAGCGGTCAGACTTCAGGCATCAGCCGACTGGCTGCCCCATCACATCGGCGCCGGAGCTTGCCACCCAAACACGCCCCCCCTGTATTACTGCTTGCGCCGGCCCTTTACTGCAGGCAAACTGGGCAAACTGTAGACCTGTATATACTTAGCAGGCCCCCCTCGCCTCCCTTTTCACTGACTGAGCCCAGGCGAGACCGTAATAGTCGACTAATCCAGAATCATTGGACTAGATTTACCCTGACCCTTCTCACACACACCCGAGGAAAGGCATACAGGGCGCTTAAGTCATGCCTGGACGAAAGATCCTGATTTATCTGCTCCGCAAGGACCTCCGTGTCACTGACAACCCGGTTCTGCACCATCTGGCATCGCACAAAGACCATGGCTTCACACACATGCTGCCGGTCTTTGTGTTTCCGGCTCATCAGATGGAAATTTCGGGTTTTGTCAAAGATGGGAGCAAGAGTCCGTACCCCGAGGCCAGGGGCCGTGTCAGCCGGTATCGGCGCTGCGGCCCTTACCGCGCCAAGTTCATCGCCGAGTCCGTCTGGAACCTGAAGTCGTCTTTCGAGTCTCTTGATAGTGGGTTAGAGCTGCGCGCGGGCATGCTCAAAGACGTTGCGGAGGGGCTTCTCGACGGCCTCGAGAAGCGTGGTGACACGGGCGCCGTGTGGATGACGGCCGAGGTGTGCCCCGAGGAGACTGCGGACGAGGATGCCGTCGCGGCCGTCTGCCAGCAGCATGGCTTTGAGTTCCAGCGATGGGTTGACGAGAAGTACTTTGTTGATGAGTGAGTACTGTGGCACCCATCTACCTACTCCACAGACTGGACTCTCTCTCTCCTCGTCCGGATGGACTGTTCCGAGAGGCTCGGTATATGAGCAGGTGGCTTCTAACATGGCATTTCTCCCCTTCACAGTCGCGATCTCAACTTCAAGGAAGCACATGAACTCCCTCAGATATTCACCGACTACCGGAAGTCAGTTGAGCCCCTGAGGCAAAAGCCCCGAAAGACCCTCCCTCGGCCTGCTCCTGGTTCCCTTCCTGCATTCCCAGAGGCCGGGTCCATCCCCGAGCAGGCAGCGCCCTTTGTCATACCCGAGACGTACGAAAAACTCGAGCCGGCCCTTCTGCTTCCCTTGAAGGGCCCTTTCGAGACGATGCTCACCTTACCCGGCGGCTCCATTAGCGCCCACCCGTTCCACGGAGGCGAGGATGCCGCACAAGAACGTCTTGTTTATGTGGTGAGCTCGGGGATCATATCAAAGTACAAGCAGAGGCGCAACGGGCTAGTAGGGGCCGACTTTAGCACCAAGCTGTCGGCCTACCTCGCTCAGGGCTGCATCACGGCGCGGCAGGTTCACGAGGCTCTCGTGGGCCTCGAGGATGGGACCGACCCCACGCTCGAGGGTGCCGAGGGCTTCGGCAAGGGAGAAACGGACGACATCAAGGCCGTGAGGGAGGAGCTCATGTGGAGGGACTACATGCGTCTCTACGCCAGGAAGATCGAGGCCAAGCTGTTTTCTGTGCACGGCTATCAGAGTGACAGCCGCGGAGATGGCAGCGGCGCCTCGGTAGAAGACCAGCCACCCGCAGCCGGGGATGCTGCCACCGCCGCCACCGCCACCCCCGCCGCCACCGCCACCGCCACCACCAGCACCTACCAGACGGCATGGAAGACGGCAGACCCAGAAGCTGCTGCCTCCACCCCCGAGCAGGTGCGGGAGACGGCGGCCCGCCTGGAGCGGTTCAAGGCCGGCACGACGGGGCTGGGGCTCATCGACGCGTCGCAACGCGAACTGCTTCACACGGGCTACACTTCCAACCGCGGGCGGCAGAACGTGGCGTCGTTCCTGTCCAAGCACCTGGGCATCGACTGGCGGTACGGGGCCGAGTGGTACGAGATGATGCTGGTAGACTACGACGCCTGCTCCAACTGGGGCAACTGGCAGTACGTGGCTGGCGTCGGCTTCGACCCGCGCGGCAAGGTCCGCATCTTCAACCCCATCAAGCAGGCCTTCGACTACGACAAGGACGGCACCTACGTCCGCATGTGGCTGCCCGAGCTGGCCCCGCTCGCCAGCCTCGAGAACCTGTTCCAGGTCTGCACCACGCCGCCCGACGAGCTCGAGGCGGCCGGGCTGGCCGCAAACGTCATGGCCACGGACCCGGTCAAGCACATCCGGTTCAACGTTTCGGGTAAGCCGCCGACCGCCCGCCAGGTGAGGAGGCAGGCCATCAGGGCGGGCGCCCGCGCCGCCGCGGGGCCAACGGGCCGCCACAGCCCTCCCAAGCCTGGCAGCGCTGACGGTGCCGGCAACGGCGGCGGCGAGCAGGACCAGGCAAAGGTCACCACCACTAGCGCTAGCGCTAGCGCTAGCGCCGTCGCAGGCGCTGGCAGCAGGAACAACAGCAACAGCAACAGCAACAACGCGCAGGCAGTGCTTCTGCAAGCGCCTAGAGGCCCTCTCTCGAATAGGGGCCAGTGGGGCCGGCCAGCCAGAAGCTACCACGTCTCGGGGCCCGGGAGGGGAGGACCCACCGGCGGCTACGGCGGCGGCCCCCCTCCCTTTGGGGGCAGCAGCAGCCGCAGCCACAACCACAACCCAAACAACAACAACATGTACCACCGCGGAGGTCCCAGCAATAGAGGAACCGGCTGGCCCAGACGCGGCGGCGGCCCAGGCGGCCGCACGGCCTACGCCACAACAACCCCGACGCCACCACCCACTCGAGCCTTCCCGGCGGGCGGCCTCGGGAGTCACGGCGGCCGCCACGCGACCATGGTGGTCAGCGGCGGCGGCGGCGTTGTCGCGAGGGCAACCATAAGGGGAGGACTCGGCGCGGCGGCGGCGGCGTCGTCGTCATCGCCACCCGGCGGCGGGCTCGGCCAGCGCTCCACCACGCCGCCGCCGCCGCCGCCGCCGCCGCCGTCTGGCCAGCAGCCGCACCCCGGCGGCGCCTAGGAGGTGGCCGACGGGCAGCAGCGCGAGCTGGTATGCGAGTACAACCAGCTGCAGGCACGCCAGCGGGAGATGCTGGAGCAGCTCGGCGTGGGCGGAGGGGACCCGTCGCCTCGACAGCAGCAGCAGCAGCAGCAGCAGCAGTATGAGAGCTCGTCGCCCCAAGCGCTGCCGTCGTTTCTCTTGCAAAAGCACGCCGACGTGCAAGCACAGCCGCAGAACTGGCACAGCTGTGGACACCACGCCCTTGCGTGCCAGTATCACCAGCCCGTCTGCAGTCACTGCCACCAGCAGCAGCAGCAGGCGCAGCAGCACGTGTACTATCCGCAGCAGCAGCAGCAGCAACAACAAACATATCCCTGTCAATACGACTACCAGATGGCGCAATGGCCCGCCGGCCAGCAGTTTTCGTACCCGCCCTACCCGCATCAGCTCGCGGCAGGCTACATGTATCCGCAGCCGCCGCCGACGTACGCCTACGTCCCGACGGCCGATGCCATGAACTACCGGTCTTGTTCGTGAGTGGGCTGCTTCTCAGTCTTCTCTTCAGTCACCACCACCGATCTTTCCTCTGCCTCTGTAGTTGTTCGGATTTTTACCTCCTGTGTTTTTTTGGGACATTGTCGGCCGGGCGTGGCCTCGGCAGCCTTTTTGTCATGTTCCTATATGCTTTCGGCCTTCACACACACACACACACACACACACACACACACATTAGATCCATCTTTATGCCATGGGGACTGGAACGGTTGATGCCTGGTCGCTTTCCCCTGGCGACAGGTAGTTGGCCTTCGTTCTTGTTTGTGCCTTTGCTTTTTGTGCCTCTTCTTTTTCTTGCGGGACGCGGGCTGGCACATTCCTAGATGGAACACGCGGCCTTAATGGATGGAACGGACGGCCCGGAAGGAATTCCAAGACGGTGTCTTGAACAGGACAGGCCAAAACAAAAACCAAGAATGATAGAAATAAACAACGACTTATCCTTGTAGCCCGTGAAACCTCTCCCGGCATTGTCAACGCCCTCGAGCTCTACACCAACTTCTCCACTAACCCCCAGTGGCTCAAAACTCATCACCGAGCGGCGCCAGCTTGATCCCCCTCGGTGCGACGAACAGCGCCTTGGCCTCGACGCACACGGTCCCCTTCAGGTCCTCCACCGTGGCCACCACCCAAACCTTGCGGTCCCTCTTCCCCCTCTCCCCGGGCGCCAACTCCTCCTCCCGCAGCGGCCTGCACCGCACGACGTGGAACCTATCCGCCACGACGGGCCACACGTACCTCAGCTCCAGCGACGCCGTCACGCCCGCCCGGCCGGGAAGCGCCGCGAGCGCGCAGCGGCCCATGCTCTCGTCCAGCAGCGTCGCCGACGCGCCGCCGTGCACGGTGCCCGGCCAGCCGGCCGTCGACGCGCCCAGGTACACGACGGCGGCCGTCTCCCCCGTGCCGTCGTCGTCGGCGGCCCGGAAGACGCGCTGGAACGCGAGCCCGCGGCTGCCGGCCAGCGCGCCCGACGTGAGGCGGTGCGGGCGCGCGGCCTCCGGCACGGAGGCATAGGCGTCCCACGACCGCGTCCACTTGGGGTCCGCCGCCAGCGCGCGCAGCGCCGGGAGGGACTCGGCCTCGGCGCGGATCTGGGCCAGGCGCGCCGCGTCCTCAGCGCTGCCCGGGGTGGGCGGCGCGGGCGGGCTGATGAGGAAGCGCGCGGCGGAGCCGAGGAGGACGCCGAGGGTGAGGAAGACGTAGGTGGAGGGGCGGAGGTGGAAGGGCTTGTTGGTCCGCTGGCCGCCTGGTGGTGGTGGTGGTGGTGGTGGTGGTGGTGGTTGGTTGCTGCTGCTGGGTCCGGGGCTGTGGGCTTGGATCTGGGGCTGGCTTGGTCTCGGGGCGCTCGACGAGAAGAGCCGGGCGGTTCCGGGAGCCGGGCGAGACCACTGGCTGGGTCTACGGGTGGTGGCCGCCCAGAGCCGGTGAGACGATTGAATCTTGGGCCAGAGGCCGATTGGCCTTGGCATGAAAAGTGCCAGTCGCGGTGGCGGCGGCATGATTGGGCCTGTGCCCTTTAGACTACACTCGGGCGACTTGAGGGCGACAAAGACGCAAAGCAGAGACGTTGATATTTCGGCCGTGTCAAGTGTCAAGTGAATCGATTCATGTTCGATTGAGATTGGCAGCCCGCACAGCTCCACGCCCACCCGCGCGGCGCAGGGGCCCCCTGGACCTTGGCTCAGCCGCAACCGACTTAATATCGACGACGCCTCTCAACTAGAGCGCCCGCTTAGGCTATCAGCTAGCACATTGCGCCTTTTGTCAGATCTTTTCTCCGTGCTTCTTTGCTGCCTGGGTTCATTGTGACCAAGTGAAACCAAACAAACGTTTCCTGTGAAATTATATGAAAAACAACTCTAAATTCTAGATATAACCCTTCGCCGAATCTAGAAGGACTAAACTCTTCAACTTCATTGATAGCATTTGCGATATTCCTTAAGAGTCCTGTAGCCAGAAGACCCGCTCAGGTCACCATCCATAGGATTTCAAGTCATATCGAAGCCCTCTTGTTCTTCTCTAGTGTCGTGATTCAATGTAAGGGAAAAAAAACAACTTTCTGCTGCGGAATTCTTTCAATTATATTACAAACAACCGAATCCAGAACTAACAACTCCTTTCCGTAAAACGCCTTTTTGGGGTATCTTCTAGGACATTGCGCCTCATAAAAAATCTGTACTTCCGGATTCCAATCTAACATCACAGTCCTTCGTCTGCTTCTTTGGTCCCAGGGCCTTAGACCCACGCACGGCGTCCCTCAGAGTTGTTGCGGCAACTCTCGTAGATCTGCCGCAGGTAGGTCGTCTTCGTGCCGACCTGCCCCGCCATCTTGGTCGGCATCATGTAGATCTCGGCCTGGCGCGCTCGGGTCGTTGCGACAGCGAGGCGCTTGGGATCATCGAGGAACTGTGTGGGCCAATCCCGAACTAGGTCGATGAACACTACGTCCGCTTCGTTGCCCTGAACGTTGTCGATGGTCCTGGCCTCGATCTTCGGCAAGGCCTTCACGCCCTCTTGGATCCTCGCCACTGCCTCTTCCTCCTCCCCGACACTGTACTCGCTCATGCTCCCAGTGTCTTCCGAGTCGTAAGCAGAGTCGCTGCTTCTCGCATACCTCAGGCGGTTATGAACCTCCTCTCGAATCTGCTCGTGGAGCGCGCCGATGAGCTCCTTGACCGCCTTCTTGTACCGCAAGAAAGCCTCGCGATAGGGCGCGATGATGAGAATTGTTCCAGGCGACTCTCCGTCCACAGATCGGAAGTTCTTGTCGCTCATCAACTCCTTGCAGCGGTCGAGGACCCAAGCCTGATGACCCGGGTGGTACCAACTCTTGGCAACTTGAAGAGCGGGCTGATTCGCCAGCTGGTGAACAACGAGCCGGGGGACGTACACCGTGTGGTTGGAGGTAAAGCGTCCAAGCCAGTTGCGCAGGTATAGGGTGGACTGGGGAACCATGTCATCCCTGGGGATTCCCGAGACCATGCGGTTCTTGTAGAAGACCGCCGACGGCATCTGGTGGAGCCAGCCGTAGGCACGGTGATTCATCAGAAGCTCATGCTTGATGGCATCCGCGTGGTGCGCCCGCTCCATCATGGATATCCTCATCTGTACCTCCCACGGGTTCTTGTTCATGGATCCGACGTAGCAGCCAGTCTGTCGGAAGTCGCCGGTGAATATCCACGCCATGGGCTGGAAGTGGGCGATGGCGATCAGGTTCGCGAGCTCTCGGGCATGCGACGCTTCGTCGAAGAGGATGATGTCGGGCAGATACTTGCCCCCGGCCAGGTTCACCGCAGCAACTGGAGTCGACGCCAAAAAGTCGACCTCGTACAGGCTGTCTTGGTACAAGGTGTACGTCTCATCACGGAGCTGGCGCATCTTGTCGAAGCAGGGGTCCGACAGGTACTGCTGCAGGAGATTGTCAAGCTCCGCGTAATGTGCCTTGTTCTCTTCAAATCGCTGGAAAGCAACTTGGTCGAGGGTTGGGGCACGGCACATCGTCTTCGTCTGGGATGATGCCGCTTCGTTGGCAGCCATCTGTGCCTGGAGCAGGAAGTTGTCCGCAATGGCTTCGTTGTGGACTCCGTCGTGGGTAGCTTCGGCGACCGCCTCGGCTATGGTGGCTGCTCCGTGCGCATTCTTGCGTGACTTGAGGCCTTGGTCATACTCGCGGCCCCATCCTAAGTTGAATCGTGTTAGCTTTGCTTGGAACTGAAACCGAACCTGGGAGGGGGGAGGGACTGGCTGCTTACCAAACATGCGAACAATCTTCTTGTCATCGCCAAGGTCTTCGGATATCTTGACGCACTTGTCGGTAGTGTCATCGACGGGGCGGTTGATGTCGAGAAGATACAGAATCTTGGGCCGGCGCTGCTTCTTGTTGCCGTCCTCATCCATAAACTCGATCATGCCCGCCTGGGCCATGGCGGTGATGAGCATGTTGAAAAAAGTCTTGCCGCCGCCAGGGCCACCAGGGATAATGCCAACGCCGCAGGGAAGGTTGGCGAGGAGCTCAATGAAGGTCTTCTTTTGAAGCGAGTTCAGGCCCTCGGCCATGCTCTTGAGCTTGGGCGGCAGGGAGTTGGGGTCGTTAATGAGATCTTTCATGTACGGCAGCTTTTCAAACAGGTTAACGGTGAAGGCTGGATTCTTGAAAGTGCGGATCCAATCGAAAACCTGTCGGGCGCGCTCCATGTCCTCGCCCACGCCCTCGATGAGGGTGTCCAGAGCTCCGAGCTCGGCCTTGCTGGTCACATCCTCGTATTCGTCGAGGGTGATCATCGAGTACGTCATGTTACTGGAGAGGAAGTTTGGGATTGCCGTGGCCGTGGTGAAGTCGGTTTCCATAATCGGCTTTAGAATGATGTCGGCTGCGACATGTACGGGCATGGAGACCCGGAAGACGGCGTAGGCCTTTAGGCGGCCACCCGGCATCTCAATTCGAACGGCCGACCACTCGCGCGAGGCTGGGTCCCGGCCGGCGGCTCCGTTGTTGATGGCGATCATGCACCGATCACCCGGCTTCGGGAAGCCCTCGACTTTGTCGTTCACCTCGAGCGCATAGATCCAATGTTGACGGGCGTCCATGTCCTTGAGGCGACATACGACCCAGGTCCGGAACACGTGCTCATCCTCGTGGAACTTGTCGATGGCGCCCTGCTCTAGGGAAGTCTCGAACTCGGTGCCGGACCTGTAGATCCTCTCGTACTCTTCAAGAGTCTCGAAAGTGTAGACGGGCTTCTTCATGGCCTCCTGGACGGCGGGTGTGCGCATGCGCGTGCGCGCGCGGTCGCCGGCAGGCGCACCCACAGCGGCGTTGGTAGACATTGTACTGCGGGAAACAGTGATGACCGGGTATCTAGAATACAACAAGATGTGGGAGAAAAAAGGTGCTTGGGAACGGGAAATGTCAAGGAAAGCTTGCTGTGTCTGGGAGAGAAAAGAAGAGCAAAGGAAAGTGGGAGTCGGGGGATCAGGGCAGTTTAAATGGACACGGATGGGGCAGGAGCCCAACAGGAGATAGCCTTGCAGGAGGGAGGCGCTCGGCAGGAAAGCCCCAAACCCAACCAATGAGAGTCACGAATCTGATCTCTGGCCGTGGCGCCTTTTCGCCAGCCACCTATTATGAGTCTATTGCAGAATAGAGACGAATAAGGGCCCCGACCCCGGCCAATGAGAAACGCAAATCCGATCATTAGGACGCAGAGCCTCCTCTCATCACGTCATTACGGCCGTAGCCTTGGTATTGTCGGCCAACTCTTACACCCAGCTCCAAAAGAAGAGAAGAGACGACGGAACGCTCAAACCCAATCGCAACATGTGGAAAGCGAGCACCACAGAGTCCTGAAAGTATCAGAGCAAAACGATGGGAATCTGCAGCTGGGGCTTGCCAACCTTGTTCATTTTCCGTAGAATGGCTGGGTTTCGTTGGGGAGGTAGCAGGCTGAGCATTGTCAGGCTGCGGCTTTTGAACGTGGAACGATAGCTTTGATATTGCTGTTTGCCATCCGAACCTTGGGATGGGCAGGGTCCAATAAGCCAAAGAATAGGAAGAGAAGCGGGGCCTCAAAAAAGCTGAATAGGCACAATGGTAAGTTCTGGGCAGAAAACACGTCATTGGGGTGGCCCTAGCCTCCCCAAGAGGAGGGATGCGTCATCTAGTAAACGGGGGTGGTTGGGGTGGGCAAAGCCGGAGAGCAGCCTCCTATTGATGTTCGTCAATGGTCATGGAACAGACTCGGCCGAGTCTTGGTGCCTCAGATGCTAATCACCGGTAGCTCAGCCGCCATGCCAGACTCTGATCAGCTTAGGGGGAGGAACATTATGGCTTCTTTGCGCCCCCAGTCGGCAACGAGGAGGCCGCAACACCCAACTATCGTCAGATGATGGGGGAGGATGCTTCCGCCCGTTGGGAATAACTGCCTTCAGGAGCTCGCCACACACGTTACTGTGGTTCTGTTCAGCCATGTTAGTCAGACCCATCGGGCATCTACATTGCCGAGCTGGGTAACTCGCCACTGTGCCTGGTATTCGACGTCGGCCCTTGTGGGATGAACTAAACAGGGTGGTTGGCTCGGTCGATATTCAAGTTATATAGATCCAAGGGACAACCTAACGTAGATATGAACCGCAGAGCATGACATATATCACGGGCACAGGATATGAAGAAGGAGTCAAGGGTTAGCGTAGCAAGAAAATAAAATAAAACTCCAGCCATGATGTTTATTTGTCATTCCCACCGAATCTAAAACAGGCGATGCCACCCAAAAGACAGATAGAAGCTAAAGAACATAGACCCATACAGACAAGCAAGAGTCACAAAAACCTCCTTCCAAGATAGAGTTGCTCGCTGGCAGGGCAAGCAAATAGCAAACAGCAACATCGACGTCAAATTTACATTATACCTATACCGGTATAGCTGTGTCCATAAGCGGAGAGTTGAAGGGAGCACTCGAGACGGCGGGAAAGCATTGGCCTCAGTCCTCGTCAAAGATCTGCAGCGTGTTTTGCAGTATCGTGTCCACGACGCGGACCTGCCACCCAGCGTCCGAGATGTCGCTGTTGGCACCCGTGCCCATGAGGGTGGGCCCAAACACGATGGCCAGGTTCTGCGAGTTCATGCGGTTCGTGTGCGAGTTGTCCATGACGCGGTGCAGGTGCAGCGTCAGCGCCCGCAGCGTCGCGTAGTTGGGGTCTGGTAGGTTGTTGATGATGGCATGCAGTGAGTCGCGGCGCACAACCTCGTCGTCGCTTTCTATCGCAGAGCAAGATTTGACATGTGAGCGAGGGGATATTGGAACCAGGCGAGTTTTCTGGATGGGTCAGGATATGGCAAAAGTCAGGGGTGAGACTCACTGGCTGCTTCTATGAACGCGGTGTAGTGCTCCCGTGTCAAAAGCGGATCAGGCAGGTCACGCAGGAACTGCTTCAGAAGACCGGCAACGCTGTTGACGTCGTGGAAGAAACTCTCGGGATTCCTAAAGTCGAGATTTGGCGAGTCGGAATCTGCGCCGTAGAGAAGAATATTAGAATTCAGACGATCAGATGGCACGGAGAGAGTGGAGGGGCGTGATCTGGGCATACTCGAATCAAACATGCTCTTCAGCTTGTTGACGTGCGGCACCGATCCCGAGAGCCTGTATATGCCCTCGACCGCCAGGCCGTAAAAGTCCACGGCTGTGATGCACTGGTACACAACCTGCGGCACTGCCAGGCTGTCTCTCTCGTACAGGCGAGCCAGCGACACACCAAACACCGGACGAGTGGGCGCCTGCGGGGGTGAGTGGTTCCGCCCCTGAGGGAACCCGCCTGACCCCGGCCGGTCAGCACCAGCCGGCTGGTGCTGCATCAACGGGTTGGGATGCCCATGGTGGCCGCCGGGAGGGCCCTGCTGCGGGGGGCCCTGTTGGAACGGAAGCGCCCCTAGTTGCGGCGGCTTCTGCGAGGGCGTAGGCCCGTAGGCGGGGCCCGAGTTCTGCCCATTCCGCGGCCCATACTGCTGTTGCTGTTGCTGTTGCTGTTGCTGTTGCTGCTGTAGTTGTTGTTGTGGTGGTGGTGGTTGTTGCTGGTGTTGCTGGTGTTGCTGGTTTTGTTGTTGCGGTGGTGGCGGGTTCCCTGACTGCGATGGCAGACTAGTGTTGCTCAGTAAGCTGGTGTGACTAAAGTTGCGCTCGTGTCCCTTGGAGGGCGGGCCTCCCATGGCCGGGCCGGGGCCCATGGGCGAGGCAAAGGTGGAGCCTGGCGCGCCTTGGGATAAAGGCCCCGGAAACTGCTGAGAGGCCATGCTGAACTGCGCACTGGGCGGCCCATGGGGGACCTGGCCCGGCGGTTGCAACGAGGTCGGTCCCGCGTGTGACGGCCCGCCAAGCACGGCATGCCTCTCGTACTTGGGCTCGCCGGTACGTGGCGGCACGTTCCTGTAGTGGCTGACCACGAAGTCGCTGATGTCGCGGTCGTTGTTGATGCCAGCGACTATGTCACGCAGGCTCTTGGTCTCGGCGTCCTTCTTCAGCGGGCTGATGCTCAGGCCGTTGCTCAGGAGAAGCTTCTCGTTGAACGAGGCGAACTTCTGGATCTGCAGGGTCAGGCCGGCGTCGCACTCCCGGATGGTGTCCTGGAGAGCCTTGATAGCCTCTGGCCTGGTGGTGCGCATCAGCTCGGCGCGCTCGGCCTGCAGCAGGTCGACGCGCGAGTGGTAGTCCTGGTCGGCGCCCTGGACCTTACGCAGCAGATCCTCCTCGTGCTGGGCGGCCGACTTGGGGCCCTTGAAGCCGAACATCTTGCCGCCCTTCTGGCTGTCGCCGGTGCGGACGCGGTCGTAGTCCTCGGCCAGGGCGTCGTACTTGGCCTTGGACTTGCGCACGCTGGCCTCGATGTCGGCAACGCGCTGCTCGGCCGAGAGACCGTTCTGCTTCCAGCCCTTGCGGTTCTTCTCGGCGTACGTGTACAGCTCTACCAGGTCGTCGTGCATCTGGTGCAGCGACGACGAGAACTGCAGCCCGTTCTGCGCTATCTTGTCGTGAACCCCCATCATGCCCGAGTAGGCTTCGGCAAAGGTGCCCTGTCTGTGGTCCGGGTGCAGCATCGTACTCTGCGACATCTTGCACAGCTTCCTCAGGCCTGCTGCGAGGTCCTCCTCGAGGATGGCCCGTTTCTTGAGGAACAGTGCAAACTCCTGTGACGCGCGATGGTGGGGTGGCGGTTAGAACATGGGGGCAAAGCAGCGCAGCGGGAAGCGCAACGGGGGACGCACCTTTGTTGAACTTATCGACTGCTTTAGCCTCGTCAGCAGCGTAGATATGCCGACTTCTGACTGGAGCACCTCATGGACCTGTCGCTCGCTCTCGGCGCCGGCAGCATCTGGAGCGGGGGCGGTCGAAGGTTGGGGCTGGGGGGCGCCGCTGACGCTGCCGTCGTTCTCAGAGCCGGCGGTGCCCGGGGGCGCTCCCAGCGACATGCTGCCAGATCGCTGGTGGTTTTGGTTGTGGTTGTTGTTCTTGTCCTGTTGGTACGGGGACAGCTCGGGAAATTGGGGCGGCTCGGAGGCCATGGCCGGCGACGGGGTGTTTTGTTTACGAGGCGAGGGTCGGGAGTGCTCTGTTTGCGAGTTCCTGGGGATTCTCGGCGGGGCGGCCTAGACGCTCGAGAGGATGGGTTGGTCGGGTGGTCAGTCGTTAGGGCGGATAAATAGTAGCCATCAAGCCGTCTGGCACATGTCGCGATGGGCGCCCGGATTCGATTCCCCTCTCCTCTCGTGATGCTCCACGCAGCGGTGCCTGACGATCGACGTCGAAATTCCAGGTCGGCACAGAAGCAAAGACCAGCAATAAACCGCCTGGCCGGGAATTGGAATGGCCGCAAGGTCCTTTTAGCTAGGGTTGGACGCCGCCTGTCGTGCGTCAAGACTTTGCTTTTGGCCGTCGTCGGGGCAGGGGTTGAAACGGACGAGAATCATGCGCGCGTGGGTGGGCGGCGACGTTGGGGGGTTCTTGGCGATGGTGGTCGTTTGGAATTTTCGATTTGCGCCCGAACGACAGAAAATGGATGGCGTGTCCGGCGCCAGCGAAGGGGATCCTGACTGTCGGGTTCGACAGAAAAATAGAGACGACACGACGGCGACCCCAACGACCAAGACAAGACTGGCGACACGGCCCAGCGAGGCAAGCTGCTGCCCTGTTCAAAGTGGCGCCGGCCCCACTATTCAGGCTAGTCCCGCGGCCGTGGATTGGATGGCAGCTAGGGGCTCAACTGCGAGGGTGGCGGCACAACCAGACCCTTTGGGTGTGTCTTTGGGTGTCCTTTTGCAACAGCAGAGTTGGCGAGAGTGGCTGGTCGCTGCCCATTTCCAGTCGTGCGTGTTCTTTTCTACCGAACCGTTTCTCTGCAACCTGCAGCCCAGTTGTGCACGGCCTGGAACTGTTTTCCGTCGTTTCATTCCGGGCGCTGGTTTCCCACGTTTCCCGCGTTTCCCCAAACGCACAGGCCATCGTCCGTTTTTTTGTGCGCCGGTTGCTGCTGCTGCGTGGTGGTGCGCTGACGTATGCGAGCCCGCTAAAACGGGCGCTACCAGCCATGACATGACAGCAGAAAAAAAACCGTTGCACTTGTCGGATCGCACCTGCGCTGGACCATGCTAGCCTCTGTGCCTCTTTGCCAGTCGGTGGCGTTTCTCACGCTAGATTGAACCGCTCCCACAAGGAAAGCGGCGCTGGCATTCTCCATGTAAAACGATGGCTGTCAATGGCAGCCACGCAGCCCACCGTGGCTGCGTACGTGTAGATCATCGGGTTCGGGCAAGCCAGGACAAGCCAGGACAGGCCAAGGCCATCTCCCCCAGTCAGGCTACGTCAGGCGCCGTCTTGAAACAGAAGGCAGGATGGTGCTGAGCATCCAATCTCTGTGTTGGCCACCGGATCTCTCGGAAACCCGCCAAACGATGGGCGGCATCTTCCACTAGAACACAAAACGAACCGCCGTGGCCGTTGAGGCGAAAGTTTCCCAGAATATGGCCCGGAATAGACTTTGGCTCGTGACTCTGACGGGGACTCCAGGAACGAGCCGGGAGTCTGGGCGGGCAATGCCAGGCTTCTCTGTCGCAAACCTGCGTCCGCTTGTCTGCCACTTCCAAAATAAGACGAGGCAAATCAGAGAGAGCAATTATGGTACGCATGTCGATCCGTTTTTTTTTTTTTTGCCTTTCGAGATACTACACCAAACAGCAAACGCTCCGATTTGATGAAGTCGTCTTGAGATCCTAGGTGGTGATCTTGAGGCGATCGCGTCTCAGAGACGGCGTCTGGGAGGGAGTTATTTCACTCACCTGCATACAACTGAAGCCGACACATATGCATTGACAAAGCCCCGCCATTTAAAAAAGTCGATAAGCGGTGCTCTCAACAGTTCATATCAGATCTCAAATACATGTGCCCTCTACATTGGACGATCTTCGTCGCATCTCCTTTTGCGATTGCGAGGGAGGGAAGCGGTAGTGGCCGCCCCCCTGCCTACCCGGTAGAGAGATCTGATACACATAACGATGCCTACCATCTGCGAGGGTTATAAAGAGGAAAACCCCACATCCCAACAGGGGGGTTAAAACTGGAGATCACAGGGATAGCGAAAGGGGGGTCACGTGCTGGCATAAAGTCACTGCCATTAATGAAGTTGGTGAAAGGAGGAGAGAAATCGAGAAAAGCTTTTAAAGGACGAGAAATTCTTGAAGTTTCGTGACATCTCCCCAAGTTACCACGACCCCTGGGATCTCCAGTTTCAACCCCCCTGTTACTGGGTGGGTTTTTCCTTTTTCTTTCCTTCGCAGATGGTACCCGTTGTGCTGGTAGCGAGGTTCGCTTGGCCTTAAGGGTACCGACAAACAAACAAGTCGATTTCTCGGAGCGGAATATGTATGCGAACATCCCAAAACACCACCCATAATAATGTTGGGTACCAGAGCCAGTTGGACAAACGATAGCATAGAACGTAATTGCAGCATTATAAGGTAAGAAGAACAGGGTCAAAACACACGACGCCGTTATAAATTACAGCCCAAGCTTCATTCGCCTTGCCTCCTTTTTCCCCTGCCTGTCCTTCATTAGTGTTACGCAACCGTCGTGAGACCGCCTCCCCCCAGATCGCCAAGTTTCTGCCTCCCTCCCCCCTATAGCCGCATATGCAAATCTTCCAGTGTGCCCAGTGATCATGTACAGTAGCAACAAAGAATGCCAAAGAATGCTGTGAATACCAAAAAAGTGGCAAAAAACAACAAGAAACAATAATACCTCTTAGGGTATTCAAGGGAGAAGAGGAGAGAAAAAAAAAATAGCATCAAAAGCTGCAAACCGCAGAATCACACCCGCCGCCCGCCATTGTCAAAACAGCCCAACTATAGGAACCCCTTGGTCAGGCTGGGCACCCTGCTAATGCTGCTCTTCCTCTTTGGAATGTCCAGACCGTTGGGCCCGCCCTCCTCGGCGGCCGCGGCCGCCTCAAAGGTCGACGCCAGCCCCAGCACCGAGTGGCGCAGGCCGCCGCCGCCGCCGCCGCCGCCGCCGATGCCGATACCGCTGGCCGTGTTGCGGCGCGTGCTGCCGCCGCCGCTGCCGCCGCCGAACCCATTGATGACGGAGCCCGCCGACGAGCCGCCGCCGTTCTTCTCGAGCCGGTGGCTCTTCCAGCCCTCGAGCTCGCGCTCCAGGCGCAGGCGCTCCTCGCGCTCCTCGCGCAGGTCGCGCTCGGCCCGCCGAGCGTTGAGCTGGTAGGCCGAGTCGGACGCCTGTAGCTCGTCGATGGCCTTGAGCAGCTTGTCGACCTTGTCGCGCATCCGGCCCAGGTCGTCCTGCAGCTGCCCGTTCTGCTTGTCCTTGCGCTCGAGCTGCGACTGCAGGTCCTTGACCGTCCGGTCCACGTTGCGCACCGAGCGCTGCGACTTGTTGCGCTCGTCCTCTTGGGTCTCGAGCTGTGTTTCGAGCTGTGGGGCGCGTTTGTTAGCTGTTGTGCTCTTGTCTCCATCGTGATGGAGTAGAAGAAGCAGGAAAAAAAAAGACTCACCTCCTGGATCCGCTTGTGAAGAAACTTGATGTCCTGGCTCGCGCTCGAGTACCCCTTGGTCTCGAGGTCCACCAGCCGCAGCTGCACCTCGCTCAGGCTCTTCTCGAGCGCCGCCTTGTCCTTCTGCAGGCGCACCGCCGACTCGCGCTCGGCCGCCAGGTCGCGCTGCACCTCAGCCGCGAGCGCCTCAGCCCGCCGCATCTTCTCGGCTGCGGCCGCGGCGACGTCCTGGCTCTGCGCCGCCGCGCTGCGGAGCTCCAGCATCTCCTTGTCCATGCCGGCCGCGTTGCGGAGGCTAGGGTTCTCGCCCGCGCGCGCCAGCTCCTCGAGCCCGGCCTTGGCCTCCTCGAGCCGCGCCTCGACGCCGCGCTTCTCGCGCACCAGCGCGTCGCGCTCGGCCGACGCCTCGTCCACCGACGACCGCAGCACCCGCACCTGCCCCAACAGGCTGACGATCTTGCCCTGCGCCTCGCTGTGCGCCGCCACGGCCTCGTCACGGCTCGACGCCACGTCGGCCAGCGTCGCCTCGAGCCGCGACTTCTCCTTGCTCCACGTCGAGCTATTGAGCACCTCGTCGTCCCACTTGGACCGGAGCTCGTCCAGCTCCTCGCGCAGCCGCGCGATCTCGGCCTGCTTGAACAGCCGCTCCTCGCGCGCCAGGTCCAGCTCCTTGGTCAGCGTCGCGAACTCGGCCTGATACTTCTTGCGCGTCTGCTCCATGCTCGACTCCTTGTCCTCGATATCGTTGGCCCGCTGCGCCCGGTAGTCCTCGAGCTCGTGCTGCAGCCGCCGCTTGGCCTGCGTCGCCGCCTCGAGGTCCGTCGACATGTCCTCGACCCTCTCCTCGAGCCGCTGGTTCTGCCGCTGCAAGTCCTCGAGCGTCGCGTCGGTCCGCTTGCGCTCTGTCAGCGCCTCTGCGCACGTCTCCTCGGCCTCGCGCGCCTGCGCCCGCGCGAACTGCTCCGCCCGGCTGGCCTTGAGCACCGCGATCTCGGCCTGCTCCAGCTTGCTGAAGTACTCGTCCGCCCGCGACTTGTACAAGTTGAGGCTGGCCGTCACGTCGCCAAGCTTGGACGCTTCGGCGTCGAGCCGGATCTGCATGTCCGAAAACTCCTGCAGGAGCTGGCTGCGGCTGGCCGCCTCCTGGTCGCGCGCGAGCGCCATGTCCTGCAAGTCCGACCTCGCGTCTCGCAGGTCAACCTCTATCTTGGCCCGCTCGTGCCGCATGCGGTCGAAGTGGTCCCTGATGTCGGCCAGCTCGGCCACGGCGTCGCGGTGGCTGTGCAGCAGCGAACGCCGCGACTCCTCCTGGCTGTTAAGCACGTCGAGAATCTCCTCGTGCGACCTTGTCTGGATGTCACGCAGCGACAGCTCACCCGTCCGCACCGCCTTCTCCAGGACCGAAACCTTCTTGGTAGAATCGTCCAGCATCTCCTGGAGCCGGCTGTTAGCCTTCTCAAGCTTCTCCGCCCGTCGCCGTATCGATGGGCTATCGTCGCCGTTGGCCGCACCCGGTCCGGGCGTAGCCCTCTCCAGCTGGCTCTCGAGGTGCTTGTTTTTGATCTCGGCGAGCTGCAGCTGGTTCTGCAGCTCCTCGATCTCGGCCTTGAGATCTTGGCGGTTGTTGAAGCTGAGCACGTCTGCTGTGCGGTCTGACCGGATCGAGTCGTGAGCCGGGTCGTTCTCGGGATTGTTAAAACGGCGAGGAGGAGGCGTCGACACATTGGAGTAGTGCCGTCCGTTGATCTTGGACTTGCGCTGGGTCGGGGACGCGTTGAAGGGTGCCTCGTTGGGGTCCATCTCCTCGAGCTTTGGCCGTGTCGACTCGAGCCTGTCGTTCTGTTGGGCCGCTGTCCTAAGTTCGGCAACCTGGGCTTCGGCGCTGGTGCGTGCCGCCGTCTGCACCCGCAGGCTCTGCTGCAGCTCTTCGACCTTGCGTGCCAAATCAAAAGACTTGGACACGAGTTTGTCGTGGCCGCAGTCGGGCTGCAGGTCTGGGTCTGGCTCCGGCTCCACCGTCTTGAGGATACTCAACAGCTGAGTGCGCAGGTCTGCTAGCTCCTTGTCCCGGGAGTCGAGGGTGCCTTGTAGCGTCCGGACCGTGGTTTGCGCCTGTGTCTTGAGCGTCCGCTCCGACTCGATAGTCCGATTGGCCTCGGCCAGCTGTGCCGTAAAGCCCGACGAGGCCTTCTCGGCGTTGCGGCTGGCCTTGACCTCGCGCGCGATCTCGTGGTTTAGGTCCTCCAGGTTCAACTGGAGCTTTTCGGCCTTCTTCTCGAGTGACGCAATGGCGAGCTGGGCATCACCAAGCTGCTTGTTGAGCTTGGCGTTCTGCTCGTCGAGCCTGGCCTTTTCGCGCTGGAGCATCTGAACCTTGCCCCTCGAGGCCTCGCTCGCCATCGACGCCGAGCGCGCGATCTCCAGCCCTTTTTGCTGCAACTTGTTGAGCAGCGCGCGGTTGTCGTTCTCCGAGGCCGTAAGGCGGCTCTTGACGGTATGAAGCTCGCGCTGCATGCGCTCCTTCTCCTGGTCGTTCTTGAGCCCAAACTCGCCCGACTCGAGGATGAGCTTGTTGAGATCCTCGACCTGATGGTTCAGCTTGGCGCATTCCTCCTCGAACCATTGCAATCTCTCCTGTGCCGCGTCAAGGTCTTTGCCGAGGCTAGTCTCACGCTCGCGCGCAATCTTGAGCGCTGCCCGCTCGCCCGCGCTCTCAGCATCGCGTCGGGCTTCTTCGGCCTGGAGCATGGCCGCCCGGAGCCTCCTGATCTCCTCGCGGGCCTCGTCGCGCTCGCGCTCGGCCGTTGTGCGCGCCTCCATAGTGCGCCTCAGGGTGTCCTGCTGCGCGTACAGCTCCTTCTCGATGGTAATCTTGGCCTCGTTGAGGCGGTCGTACTCCTCCTGTAGCGTGTTGAACTTGTGCTCGCCCAGAAGCAGCACATCGTCGCGGGACTGCCGCTCCCGGCTGAGGTCCATCTGCGCCTTGTACAACTCCTCCTTAAGATCCTTGATCTGTGTCTCTAGCACTTGGCGGTTCTGGCCCGCCTGCGCGTCCTCGGACAAGCGAGCCTCTAGCAGGTTCTTGGCGTCCTCAGCCTCGCGCTGAAGTTGCGACTGCTGCGACTTGAGGGCCGAGATTTCGGCCTGGACTTCGCGCAGTCTGCTGGATGCCTTCTCTTTTTCGGTGGACAGGGTCTTCATCTGCTCGTCGATGGACCGACGCTCCATCTCGAACTTCTTGTTGTCGCCGCGCAGGATAACCAACTCGCTCTCCTTCTTGCGGACGAGATCTTCGTAGTCGGTTGAGGTCTTGGACAGCTCTGTGAGCTGCTGCTTGACGTCGCTGTTTTCCGTCGTTAACCGCGTCTCCCGGGTTTTGGCCGCCTGGAGCTCCTTCTGGGCGGCCACCAGCTTGACTTCGGCGTCCTGGTCAATCTTGAGCAGCTTGCCCTCGAGGTCACGGGCCTTGCGGTCCTTGAGTGACAGTTGACTTTGCAGCATCTTGATTTCGTCCTGCAGTGCCTCCTCCTGGATGCTCCTCTGTGACTGCTGTTGTGACATATCTTGCATCTCGCCCTCGAGAGCGGTCAGACGCGCGCCCAGCTCCCTCTTCTCGTCCTCGAGTTTGCTTATGAGCGTGGCCGCCTGTTCCAGCTGGGAGCGGAACTTCTCAACCTGCTCCTCGGCCTGCTTCTTGGCGTCAAGCAAGCTGTCAAGCTGGTCCTCGAGACGCTCCTGGTCCTCAATGGCACCAGCCAGTTTCTCCTCGAGCTCGGCCTCGCGCGACTGAAGCCGTTTGAAGATTTCTTCCTTGTCTAGCGCCAGGGCACGCTCGCTCTCAAGTGTCTGCTGGATGCGCACCATATCTGCGTGACAGTTGCGGCGCTCCTCCTCGAGGCGCGCGCGGTTGGCCTCCTCCAGACGCATCTGCTCATGTAGCTGGCGGATCATTTCGTCGCGGCGCTTGACTTCGGTAGCCGTCCTGGTGGCGCCCAGGAGCGGCTTCATGCGAACAAGCAACTGCCACCAGGGGTTCTCGCACATGTCGAGGTAGACCTGGAAGTTGCGCTGGATGACCCGGGTGGCCTCGGCACGATACAGGCGCTTGTAGGCAATGCGGCGCTGGATGAACCCGCGAGCCAAGGACTGAAAACGTATCATGATCTCGGTGATGAGGGCGTCACGCTGCTCCTCGAGCTCGGCCAGAACGCCGGCCCGGAAGAAGACCTTGGTCAGACCTAGGCGGAAGAGGCCCTTGTCGAGTCCGAGCTTGGATAGTATTATGGAGGTAGCAGCCTGGCCCTCGAGATAGCCCCTTGGCATGTCATCGCGGCACAGGACCTCGTACCGCTGGCGGAACTCGGCAAAGGAAAGACGGTTGGGAAAGCCGGTACGGGCAATGCGAATCCCCTCGAGCACACCATTGCAGCGGAGCTGGTCAAGAACTAGCAGGTTGTTGAACTGCTTGGGGCGCTTTTTGTGATTGGGGAGGATACATCGCACAAAGTGCGGGTGCGTCGAGTGCAGCTGAGCCATGAGGCTCGACAGCTGCTCCTTGTGGCGCTGGGCAACGGTGCGGAATAGCCCCTTTTTGACGCGGCTGCGCATACCGCCACTCTCGTCGTCCTGGTCAGCAGCGCAGTCGGCGAACAGGCTGGCGACGTGGGTATCCGTCGAGGCGGCCAGCAGTCGTGTGACATTGTCGTTGAGCGGGTCCTTGTTCTTCTCCAGCCAGCCTTCCGTGGAGTACTCGACCTCGGCGGCGTAGTGGGTGAGCACGAAACCGTGGCGCAGGCGGCTGGGCCTGTACTTGTCTGACTTCTTGTCCCACAGCGAGTGCAACTTCTCGGTGAAGGTCTTATCAGTGGCCTTTGGCATGACGCAGTCCTCATCCAGGCACGAGAAGACACCGATGGGGTTGGGCAGCTCGATCAGGTCGATCGTCGGCTGAAGATCGCGGCCAAAGTCGATGAACTGCCACTCAATCTGCTCGCGAGCGTACTCCTCTTGCTCGAGCACAAACATGTGGTGGTTGAAGAACTGCTGCAGCTTCTCGTTGGTGTAGTTGATGCAGAGCTGCTCGAAGCTGTTCTCCTCGAAAATCTCGAAACCCGCGATATCGAGCACGCCGATGAAGCGGGAGTCGTCCATGCCCATGCCCGTGCGGTCCAGCTGCCGGTTGATGCGCGTTACCAGGTCGCCGAACCCGCGCTCGTAGATACCCTTCGACAGCGCGTCCAGGCCTAGGCGCACCTGTTCTGGCGTCTGCACCTTCTCGACCCACTCGCGGCCTGCCTTGACCTTGGGATGCAGGAGGCCCTGGAGGAAGGGCTCCAGGGGTACTCCGAGAAGCTGGCAGACACGCTCCGCGTGTTCCTTGGCGTCGGGAGCTAGACGAGCCTGGTCCGCTGCCCGGCTCTCCTTGACTACTGTGATGTTCCCCAGGTGCAGTACCGCCGCCACCGTGCGCAGCACTGCCGCCTGATCTGCCGACGAGAAGCCCATGACCTCGAAGGCCTCCATCAGCGCCTCCCATTCCTCGCGGTCCGACACACCCGAGATGGTGTCGTTGCCGTCGCGCGTGTAGGCAAAGTGCTCGCAGTCCATGTTCTCCATCAAGAAGTCCTGCTTCATGCGCCGGTCTGCGCCCTTCAAAAGTTGGTAGAAAACATGGTAGTTGCGTTCGTTGGAGTTGATGCGCACCACGCGCGACTTCTCCAGCAAGTACCAGTCGATGAAGGCACCGGCGATACTGCCGCCTTTGCTGAACTCGATGCGGATGAACTTGCCGAAACGCGACGAGTTGTTATTGCGCACCGTCTGCGCGTTACCGAACGCTTCCAGAATCGGGTTGGCCCGCAGGATCTGGGCCGAAAGGTTGGACTGATGCCCCTTGCTGCCCTTGCCATGGTCAGAGTGCGCCACGGCAGCCAGGTACTGAATCACCTTCTTTGTATTTTCTGTCTTGCCCGCACCCGACTCGCCCGTCACGAGGATGCTTTGGTTGAAGCCCTCGTCAACAAGGTTGCGGAACGCTTCGTCGGCCATGGCGAAGATGTGCGGCTTGGTGTCCTCGCGGCTGCGGCCCTTGTACATGTTGATGTACTCATTCGTGTATATTGGTAACGGACAGTAGGGGTTGACCGTGACCAAAAAGAGCCCGGAGTATGTGTATATCAGGTCGGACTGGTATCGTGTATATAGGTTATGCACCACCGACGCCTCGTTCAAGTGCGTCAACTCGGCCATGTCCCCCGCCTTGTCGAACTTGGCGGGGTTGACCTTGTCCACCATCTCGGCGTCCACCTCTCGTTGCTGTGTCCCGAGCCCAGATTAGTGGTCGGCTAGCTGAGGACGGGCCGTGTTTCCCGGGGAGGGGGTCAGTCGAGCAAAACTTACACTGCCGTCGTCACATTGCACTAGTAGGCGGCCGCCAGCAAGCTCTTCGACGACCCATCCCTTGACAAAGGCTGTTTGGGGATCCTTAAGCCAAACATAACGCTTGCCCGAGAAGTCGTTCTCCCCCTCAATGCCCCTCACAACATCGACCGGCCGGCGCTGCATCTCTTCCGACTTGATGAAGGAGGGCGCAAACGTATTGGAGGATGGTAGGCTGCCGCGGCCCGACCCCTCTCTCGCGTGCCGCGGTATGCTGCCGCTGCTCCCCGCGGTGACCCCCATTGCGCCTGCTATTGCGGCCTGCGACTTGTTTCGTACATGTGGCGAGCCCGAGGGCGGTGTCGATAGGCCCGAGAGCGGACTCGGCGACGGGAAACTGACGGATTGTGGCCTTGGCCTCGGGCCTGCCGTCGGTCCTGGCGCAGCCGCCGGCGACGCGTTCCGCATAAAAGGGTTGTTTCGTAAAGACATGGTTGATCTGCTCGGGGGTCGCCCGGCTGGTTTCTAGCTAACCAGACTGTCCAGCGGTAATCGGATCGTGAAGATGAGGATGGCTCGAGGGGGCGTTCTTTAGTCTGGTGGCGGTAAACATTAGGCGTGGTATATCATGATCGAGGCAGGCGAGGCGGTAAAGGTACGGAGGGCAAACAATAAGAAATCGAAGCCAATGCTTGTAGGTGAAAGCGAATACAACAAAAGCGACGGTGCTGCGTCGACTGAGACAATGGTATTTCTGTCGGCGCTGGAGTGCACAAACTGCGTGGCGTGGAGAAGACGCCGCTTTGGCCTGTCCATGAGATCACTGCTTTCGCTTGACGTTGCCTTCCCTGCTCGCACAAGGCGGGTTGCCAGGGCCCAAAGTAAACAAACGACTTCCCAAACCGGCCGTAGCGCGCGGCGGGCGGCGGTCTAGCCCAATCGGAATTAGCGCTCACAGCCCACCGCTCGTGGTAGTTGCGAGTTGGGTCCTGCCTGGCCCGTGCATGGTCCAGGGGAGATCTGGCTGGGAATGCAGGACCCACACTTTTCCTTCGCGAAGAAGCCAAAGTCAACGAAGATTTGAATCGTCGCCATCCCGACTTTGGCATCATCACCAGACTTGTGCGACAGCGCCAGCCGCCAACCCTCGTGGCCTTGCCATCAAACCCACTGCATGCGACTCGGCGTAGAGCCCGTCCCACATCCTCATAGCATCATCCGAGTGACAGCGCCGCTGGACCCATCGCTTTTCTGCCGCTGGCAACCACACAAAGCGTCGTGGGCAAGCACCGAGCCTTGAGTCTTCTTGCGGGCCTTGCTTGACGCGCTTTGACCGCGGCGGCCAATACCGAACTCCCTTCCTGCACTCTCGCTTCCATCGCTCCTTTGTTCGCGACAGCCTGTGTCGGCCTTTAGCTGCGACACAATTCTAGTCCTCTTCTGCCACAGCGCGCTCCACGAACGAGCGCGTTTTGCCTTTCCGTCTTCCCCAATCTGTTTCGTTTCCCTGGCACAAACACCCGATGCTCCCTGGCAAACCTGCAACGCATCAACTGCTCCAATAATTGCCTGCACATCTCTGAGATTATCCTCCACGCGTGACGAGGTCACACTTACCATGTCATACTATCCAGCGGGGTATGGCCAGTGGCCCGACCCGGCTTCATATTCCCCCTTCTCCCAGACGCCTCAACCGATGGGCCAGTCCTCGACCCAGCGCCCTCCTCCCACGTACAACTACCCGCCCAGTACACCGACCGGTCCAGGACCCTACACGGCATCCCAAGCCGCCTTCGCCCACAATGCGACGCACATTCCTGGTCTGGGTGTTCCCGGAGCCGGCTCCCCTTCGCACTACCAGGGCCCGTGGCAGCCTGCGCTGAACTTTGCTAGATACGGGCAACAAATAGCAACGCCCCAGAAACCGCCGCCCCAGTCCTTACCGGCCGCGGCCGTCAAAGCCACGACGTCATCCACCCCGAAGCCTCCCAACGACGTTGTAGAAGAAGGCGAGCTTGAGGAGGAGGATTTCGATGACCTCTACGAGCCTCACCCCTCCGACAATGCCCCCAAATTCTCGGAGGCGCCCAGAACGACCACTCTCGGACAGCCCAAAAAGGGTAACAGAGATGCGCAGGCTGGGGCTTTCTACGAAGCAGAGCTTGGAGAGGTCGTGTCGAACCGTGGCGGATCCCCAGGTAAGATATTGACGCTGGCTCGGTCAGAGGCGCATCGTCGGAGCGCTATATCTAACATTACTAGGCCGCGAGAGATCCGGTTCCTACTCGCCGCACCTATCCCCGCGTGAAATCGATCTTGAAGCTGGCACATCTCACAAAACGAGTGATGGGGAAGTTGGTCGCGCCCAGCAAACATATGGCTCACAGCGTGGGGCGCTGCCAGCAAAACACGTCACGAACGGCGCCCATGCCCCGAACGATCCGTCTTCTCTTCATCTCACGGCTGCAACAACCTCCGATGCGCCCTCAATATCCGCTCCTGGATTTCGATCCGCCGATGAGGCGAAGAAGGAAGCTCAAAAGTCCATCCTCAGGTTGCTGCCGCTCGGTGTCAAGTTCCAGAACTATATTGATGAAGGATTTGACGAGACTATTGTCAAATCACTCTTCGGTGACCTGAACCTGCTACCACCTGTGGCACCAGCCAAGCCTTCAGCACAGTCTCCTCAGACGAAGCAGCCTGCGGCAACTGAGGCTTCAGATTCAACTTCAGCCAAGCCTAAGGATCAAGCAGAGGAGCGCAAGGATCGCATCGCCAGATTGCTAGCCGCTAAGGCAGCTAAGACGGCTGCGACTGCTCTGCCTGCTCTGACTTCCCCTACCGCTCACCCGCCGAAACCTGCTGGCGCTGCTTCTGCTCCAGGCGCCCCCTCCGCCCCATTGGCACCATCGGCCATGGCCAAGCTGCCGCCTCCGTCAGCTCCTACCGGCCCCGCAGCCCTTCAGAACTTTCCTCCCCCCTCGGCTCCCACGGGTCCAGCAGCCATGCAAAATCTGCCGCCTGCATCAGCGCCCACTGGCCCTGCTGCTCTGCGCAAAGATGCTGGGTCGTCGCCTGCTTCCAAACCCAGGTCAAAAACGGACAAGGAGCAACTTCTCAAAAAGAAGACGAAGGCCTTGCTCAAGGCCCGTCAGGCCCAAGCGCAACAGTCGGTTGCGGCAGCCTCGGCAGCGTTTAAGCCTCATACTCCTGCTGCCCTCGGGCAACCTAGCAAGGATGCGAACGCGGACACAAACGTATCTCTGCCCGAGAAACCCCCAGCACCCATCGCGCCACCTGCCTCTGAGGCCCCAGCGGTCCCGAACGCCCAGCCTGCACCTAGCGTTGCCAGCCCGTCTCCCATGAGCTCTCGGGCCGAGTCGGCGATCCCAGGGCTCTACTTGTCTACATCCGTCGGGTCTACTCAGACTTCGAGGAAGCGACCTGTTGCCGCAGATTTTGTGGACTACAACACTAGTGTCGGGACTCCCAAGCGCCCGTTTGGACAGAACCGCCAGGACTCATTCGTCATTAATATTAGTGAAGATGAGGAATCTGATGAAGACATCGAGATGGAAGTTGACTCGCCGGCAGCTGGGAGCCCATCTTCATCAAGCCAGCAGGTGGACACGCCCGGCCGAAAAGGGCCATCCATCAAGGACTTTGCCCCTCTGTCCGACGGCCCTTACAAGCGACCGCTATCCCGCACGAGCTCCAGCGGGCCTCGTCCTGCGAAACTGCATCAACTTAGTGGGGAGATCTCCTCGCTCCAGAGGAAAATTGCTGAGCTCGAGGCCAAGAAGGCGAAGAAGTCTAGTTCCGGTGCCCATACTCCCAGCGTTGCTGCTGGGACACCGATTGAGTTCCCAGAATCAGTCAAGGGGCTCGCTCCTGATCCGAGAAACAATACAGCACAGACTCACACGAAGCCACGAGGGGTGGCATCAGCAAGCGAGGTTGACAACATGGACTTGGCGTCAGCGCAGCTCATCTCAGAGGCAGCGTCCGCGACCCTTCCCCATCGTGCTGCTCAGCCCAAAAACGCCGGCAAGGCGAAGTCCACCTATGGAGAGCTTGGTGAACTGAATGCACCACGGCCGATTCACCCCAGAGCCCAACCCGGGCTTTCCGCAGCCCGTGTGGGATCCGAAGATGACCGCAGGGCCCGCATCGCCAGCATTCAGCTCCCAAAAATCGAGGCAACACTGCTAGAGAAGAAAACCAAACTCAAACTTTTGGAGCAGAAGACCAACCAGCTCAGACTGGAGATCGAGAGAGAGGCAGCCGAGAAGGAGAAGCTGGCAGAAGAACTCCGACTGCTCGATCAAGCCGAATCCGCCCAACCCACCTCGGCATCTGGGGAGCCGGAACTGGCCATTCCTTCTGTGGTCACACACGAGTCCACAGCTGCGCCATCACAGACTGGACCTCGAGCGGGAGAGGACTCGCTGGCATCGACAACAGAACATACGAAGGACTCTCAGCAAATCGCGGATGATGGTGAGGATTCCACGTCGTCAGCAGACGATGATGCCGCAGCCACACAGTCAATGGATCTTGATGACGAAGATGCGTCTACCCCAGACTCGACATCAAACCCTCCCGAACAGACCGACCAAGTGCCACCGGTTCCCGTTCAAACAAACACAGAAAGCAGTCCAGCATCCGGAACAGCCGCTGCCGATGCAGTCAGCTTAACACCAGCAACGGAGGCCAACGTCAGCCCCAACCCAGCTTCGCAGCCTCCCGCACCTGACGAGAAGACCGCCTCGGAAGCCTCAACCCCAGAGTCCGGCCAAGTTGACGAGAGCGAGCCCGAACAGCCGAGTAGCGCTCCTAGCCAGACTTCGCGACTCCCGAACGAACTGGATGCTGAAGTGCCCCAACAAGACGATGACGCCGCCGAGGTGATAGTGATTGAGGATGGATCACCTGCTCCCGCCATGATATCAGACGTCGCAGAACCCTCCAGCAACGAGATGGAGCAAGCTCAAGAGCTGGGCAACGGAGAAGTACATGCATTTGCTCCAGCGAGACATGAGTCCCGCACAACTAACACGCATCTCCAGTGCCCATCACGCCGCAATGACGTCCAGCTCACGTCCTTTACTCCTTACGAGAGCCCGCTCAAAAACTTCCGATCCTACCGCTTCCATCCGGAATACGCCAACAACGTTCAAGGAGGGCTGAAGTCCCTCACTTACACTAACAAGATCAACCCAAATCAAGAGCTTTGCCCAGATGAGATTACCAGGGGGAGATGCGATGACAAGACGTGCAGATTCCAGCACTTTGCCTCGATGAAGCCCAAAGGTATGGCCACAATAGTTTCCCTCCCCTCGATCGCTAACATGGCAATATGAGAGATGGACAACACATAACTGCGCATAATCTTCAAGACAAGCGAAACCCCCTGCGTCTCCCCGCCCCTCTTTGGTCACTGACTATTTTTTTCACAAACTTCCTGCCTCTCCGCGATGCTATCACAGATGACTACATACTCATCGAGCTCGGCCGGGCCGACGAGTTCGCTGAAGGCGAGGAGAAGAACAAGTTCATCGGAGGTCTGAGAGACCTCCTCTTGGCGTTCCGAACTGAGAAAGTCCGGGACTACGACAAGATTGGGTACGGCATCATCGAGTACCGTCGAAAGTTTATCGGCGACAAGTCGAGGGTGCTCAGCGGGCTCCATAACACCAAGATTTGAACAGTGATTCCGCTGAGGAAGCGGGCCAAGGGGCAGTTTTCCAAACCTGCCCAAGGGACCGAAGAGCCGTAGGCTCCATATCTTGCGTCTTGTTCCAACAACGAGCCATACAAGTCAGCTCCGGGCCTTGCCGAGCACATAAGCCCCCGCTGAAAAGCAAATAGGGCCGAAAATGCAGCCCTACTGGCCCGTTGGCTGGAGCCCCAAATGACCGATGACTCGGGGCCCTGATGGCCTACAGTAGACGGCATGTCACGAGACGAGCAGCGTGACGAAGCTTGTTCTCATGATGCCAGCCTTTGGCATGACCTCCGTGGACCTTGACACACTCCGGCATTCAAGCATGAACGCAGAGGTTGGCGACGGTCCCACATTGCACAGAAAGAGGGGGCTATGTATGAGTATCGTGCCTGGCCATTCTTCTACTTTCCCTATCGATACCCCAGACTCCCCACGCCAGCATTTTGCTGCCGCTGCAGCATCAACCGTAGTGTCTTCTCCAGACACTTTTTCTTTCCTTCGTCTTGAGTTATTCTTGGACTGCTTTCAGTGCGGCCGCAAGAGGTGGAGATGGGAGTATGACTAGTGGTCAAGAGGAGGGAGAGATACCAAAGCGAACAAGAGGAGGAACAAAAAAATCAATACCAACCACGACAAAGAAAGAGGTGGACTAATATGAGCTTGGTGGCTGAATAGCGAATGCGCCTCGAAACGGTGGCTGTGAAGCCAGCCTGGGGCGTCAGGTAATGCGATGAATATCAAACTTTCCAACCAAGTCAGCAGTTAGGTGCTTCCTATCCAGAACCTTGACATCTTTGCCAAGTACGGGGTTGTTCAGTGTCCATTTGGCCGTCAAACAAAAGGCCATCGCCATTGTTGGGCGACTCCGTCCTGTGTGCGTTTCTTTGTCGTACTCGCGGTGCCATCTCGGAAAAGCAGAAACACAAAGTCTCTTCCCGAGTCGAAACCGAGAACAGGAGAAAACAATGGAGGGAGCGGTGACGAAACATCCCAACATTTCATCTTCATCATTGGAGCCTAAAGGCCTGCGGGTATGAACAGCTGGCCTTGCCCATGTCAACCTTTGGATCCCCAAGGTGACCGACGCAGGAGCCGACCCGCGTAACCATGATATCTAGCTATTTTCCTACGTACCCAGAGGTGGCTAGGGTACATGTGCACAAAAATGAAGTGGACACACCCTAATAGCACGACAGGGCACACACACTCAGGGCTCAAAGAGGAAGGCAGCGGGCGTGAAAATGTATCTCTTGTTTTTAAAAACACAAAGCATCGAAGCGAGAGCCAATGTGTATATGCAGAGCTTTGTCTCGAGGCCGGACTAAGGGAGGGGAAAAAAAAAGGTAGTCTGACGGACGGGCTTCACCACATGGCGACGAAACCCGACCTGCCCAAGTCCGTGTCCTCGGCGCGTTCCCGCGTGCGCCGGAGCAGTCAAGTCTAGGGATATAAAGTACAAAAGGTATTTTTGGGGGGAAGAAGTGCTCCGCGAGCACGCATGGCGAGCAACAGCAAGTCGGATGCGGGGGTGGGTTATCTTGGGGCTAGCTGACTGCTCACCGGGGCGAGGACGCAGCATGAAAAGGGTGGGAAACTCGTGAGAGCGTTTGTGTATACAAGGCCGGGCTGTGGCTAGATTTGAATTCGAACATGAAGGTGTGGCAGATGTCTTCCCTATCCAGAGTCATGCTATGCATAATTCACAGGAAAAAAAAGGTTACCTAAAACTCGCTGCCAGAACGTGACACCGGGCCTGTTTGGTTACGGTCTCGGGGGAGAGGAGAGCGTGCCGGACGACTCGGATCCAGCGTCGGCATCTTTGCCGACTGCCTTGGGCGGCTTGGCGACGGCCGCCACAGCCCCCAGCGCAGTCTTGGGCCCATTGAGCTTGAGTTTCTTGGCTGGAGACGGGATCTTGCTGGTCGACATCTTCTTCTTGGGCGGCACGATGGGCGTGGTCGATGTCGGGGCCGGTATTGTGGGCGGCGGCACCTGTGTCTCCTTGTGGCCACCCTCCTTGGCGTCGGCGTCGTCGGGTTTGGACTCGTTGGAAAGCAGCGAGCTCGTCTTGACCTTCTCCTTCTTAGGGCCCTTAGTTTTGAGGATTACCTTCTTGGTCACGGCCGCGACGGCGGGACTTGGCTTTAGCTTCTTCTTCTTTGGGTTCGCGTCCTCCTCCTCGTCGTCGCTGTCCTTGTTGCTGCTGTTCTTGGCGCTGTGCTTAGAGCCGCCACCCTTGCCGTTCGCGTCGTCTGCGCCACCGGCCATCATTTCATCGCCATCGCGCTTGCGCGGGCTGCTGGCGCGTGAGGCCGGGAGTGGCGTGCCCTTCTGGCTCGAGGGCGGCGTGCCAGAACCATCCCCGTTGCCGCCGTTCTTCATCTTCTCGGCCGCAGCCCGGCTCGCGTTACGCCCGCTGTTGCCGATGCACGAGCCCATGTGGTTGTTCAAGCGCGTCACCAGAATACAGCGCTTGCATTTGCTGCACGTGGCCGAGGGGAAGGAGAGCACGTTTGGTGGCCTAGCAGCAGCGCCGCTCTTACCGTCTGCACCCTCGCCCTGTGAATCTCCGTCCTTCTTCTCCATGTCCTTCTTCTTCTTGCCCCTGCCCGGACCTGGCGGCACCCATGTCTGGCCGTAAATGTCGAAGCCGGGCTTCTCAATGTATGGGTGTTTCTTGCAGTAGATGATGGTCGGGTCCGGTTTCCTGGAGCCTTTTCCGTCGGTAGGGTAGAGGAGCCTCGGGAGGTTGCAGCGCGGGCACAGTATGTCCTTGGTCGTCTTAAGCGGGTTGCCCTTGAGCAGCACCTTGCCGTGGTCGTAGATGGCCGCATCCGTCTCGACACGCAGGTCGGGCCTCGTATCGTTCGCATTGGGGTCGGCGGTGTCGGAAGCCAGCTTCTCTATGCGAATCGCGGCGGTCGTGGCCCTGGCCTGTTTCTCGTCGCGATGGACTTTAAGGAGCAGGTCCGAGATGATGTTGTGGAGCATGTCGTCGAGCACCGAGTGTGCCTGTGTCGATTGCGAGCGGGCGGCACATGAGCCATGGTGTGTCAGCCAACAAAGCAGCTACAGGTGCGGGCAGCCAGGCGTCTGGGCCGAGGACGTGTTCTCGGGAGATGTAGCCTTGCTGAGGGCGCAGCACAAAACAAGAATCGTCTCGTGTGCGGCCCCCTCAGCACCTCAGCAGATGGATGCGACGAGCCAGACGCAACCAACAGGCCGCAAAACATGACGATGACTTACAAGCTTGTCCATGCTGCCGGCATCGTCCGGGGCAACAATGATGCCGGCCTTGCCCGTGTTGCTTGGGGCGGCCATTTTCTCCGAGACGCGCAAGGCTGCCGCGGGTGACTCGAGAGTGCGTCTGCCCCGGCTGCCGTGGCTTTGTGTTTTATTTTTGTTCTTCTGCTTTTTTCCCCCCCTGGGTGGCGACGGGGCTTGAGGAAGGAGTGAGATTGGAGTGAGAGCGTCGTGGGCCAGAGCCAGACAGGCAGCGATCGCCTTGGTCCGGTGTTTGCTGGGGGCAGGTGTAAATGCGATATTGCGGTTTCGGGTTGCACACTGGGGCAAAGCGATAAAAGTGAGTTTGACAGCGATGACGGCTGCGGCTCAGGGGGTCGGGGCCAGGAACTTCAGCGGAGCCGGGGGGCGGCGAAGAAATCTCAGGTGCATCGAACGAGCGCGTCGGGTGCCGGCACAGCACGAGCCTTTCGTTAGCGGACTCGAGATGGCGACTAGCTCAGTCAGACCCGAGACGGAGGAAAGAAGAGTCGAGCAAGAATAATCTGGAATCGAGAAGAAGGGCTTGTCTGCTGGCCTGCGTCTTGTCTGATCAGGCATCAACAGCGGATGCAGTCAATTTGATGCTGATGGCTGGGGTGGAAAGCACGAGGCCAAACAAGATCAATTCGCCGTCAGCTCAGCTTCGTCTGGGCAAATCTCAGGGCCGCGATTCCAGCTGAGGTCACTACTACAAGCGCCTAAAGAACCTCCTGCCCGGACGCGGAGCAGGGGTGGAGCGCCAGGCCCCAGCACTGAGCGCCTGCCCCACATCCCCTGTTATCGCGTTGGCCGATAAGCTTAGCAGGCGGCAGAAAGCCCTGACCGCCCGAAAAATTATTGTCCAAAGCGAGGAAGTATGCGTTCGGGAAGCCTGAATGCTGCTCCTGCTCGGGCTGCTCGGGCTGCTCCAAGCCAGAACCTGGGCAATGTCAGGTGGTTTTATTGCACTTTGCTCAGGAATCAGATGTCGCCGTGGAACATGGCAACCAGCCAGGTGACGCTCTCGACAATTTGTATTTCTATTGGGCTGCGGCCACCCGCCGGGCACCAGCCAGTGGCCATCTTTCCACACGCCCTGTTTGTTTGCAATCACAGCTCAAAAACAACCGACGGGCTCTGGCTACATGGCGTGCTCTCTGCATCAGTGTGATGTACTCAATTGATGTGCTAATTAGCTTGTGTTATTTTCCGCCGTGTTTGTTTTGGCTCAAAGCCAAGTGGACCTCGACCAATTCCAGCCTCTCGGCCGGGGAGATCCGCCCGCCCCCTGGCTCTCTAACCCATTGAAATGGGCATTGAATCGAACGCGATTGGGTTGGCGCCTCGCTGGCGGCAGCTGTCGAGACGGGCCAGCGAGTCGGCGCAAAACATTGAGGACAGCTGGGCTAACGAACAAAGAGAGACCGAAACACACATAGTCTAGAGGTACCCCCCATGCGAATTTTTGGTTATTTGAGTTTCCATGCTCATTTTTGAGTTGACGAAACCGGCCTCGCGGTACCTATCACAAAAAAGCAACAAGACGCACGTTTTCAGGTTTCACCACGGCCTCTAAAAACAGCCTTGAACCCCCCCGGATTTTGACTCGACTGTCTTCCCGCCTTTCCCGCTGTTTTCCGAGTGAGACGGACCAAACAAACGCAGCAACCCCGGGAGATACTTGCCCTGTTTTGTTTTTGTCTTGTTTTGCCTTTGCTTGTGGATACTCGTTGCTTTTGCAACCCCCCGCCTCGGTATGTCTTCCCGTGGTGGTGGTGGTAGCGGCGGCGGCAGTCACCAGCCCTCGATCCTCTCCTTCTTCCGGCCAAGAAACCAAGGATTACCAGCCACGCAACCCCCGCCGGCAAGCAGCAGCACTAGCAGCATCAGCAAGACCGCCGCTGCACACCCCCCGCCTCCGCCACCCCTGCCCCAACACCACCACCAACCCCCTCCACACGCCGCCGTCCCCGCCGGGCTCCCCACCCGCCCGGACTCGGCAGCCGTGGCCGCGGCGGGCGCGGCGGCGGCGGCGGTGGCGGCGGTGTCGGGCCCGGAGTGCCGGGCGCCCGAGTCGTGGCCGACGCCCCACCCGCAGGCGACGGTGGCGCCCGTGGCCGAGGCCCACGTCACGCCGCTGCGGCGCATCAACTCGCTCCTGCTGTGCGTCAACTACCCGGACTCCTTCTACGCTCGCGTCCTCGACCCGGCCGGGTCAGGGCTCTTCTCGCGCGTCATACTCTGGTCCGACGAGGGCGAGCCGCCCAAGGTCATCGGCTCCCTCATCGCCCGCCTCGAGCCCTCGCCCTTTACGGCCGGTGAAGACAACAACACCCAACAACAGAATGGGCGCCAGCAGCAGCAGCAGCAGCAGCAGCAGCGCAGATACGCCCTCTACATCCAGTCCCTCACCCTCCTCTCCCCCTTCCGCTCCCTCGGCCTCGCCGCGTCCGCACTCGACGCTGTCGTGGCCCACGCCGAGGCCGTCAACAGCCCCGGCGGCGCCGCGGCCGCGGCCGGCTGGCGCATCTCGGACCTCTTCGCCCACGTCTGGACCGACAACGAGGACGGCCTGCGCTGGTACGCCGCCCGCGGCTTCGCCCGCGCCGCCGGCGAGCCCGTCAAGGGCTACTACCTCAAACTCCGCCCCGACACCGCCTGGGTCGTCCGCCGGCCCCTGGGCGGAGTCGCCGCCGCCATTGCTGCTGCTGCTGCTGCTGCTGCTGCGGCACCGCCACCACCGCCACCTCCCAGCGCGGCTGCGGAACCGCCACCAGCACCACCAGCAGGAGCAGCAGCAGCCGCCCGCCGCCCCTCCCCGCTGTCAACCAAGGCGCCCACCGCCGCCGGATCCGCATCCGGCACCACGACGCCCGCGTCCGCCCAGGCCCTGTGCTTCCAGGACCGCCGCCCCAACATGGACTGGAACGACCTGCCCGCCGACGTGGTCGCCGCCGCCGCCGAGCGCGCTGCCGCCACCACCACGCCGGGGCTGCTGGACGTCCCGGCGCCGGCGGGCGAGGATGGCGGGGCGTCGCACACGAGCTCGAGAAGCAGCTCGACGGCCCGCAAGAAGCGCAAGGACCGGTCGTACCCCGCCGCCGCGTTTGGGAGCTGACGGGGGTGGGAGGGAGCCTTCCATTTGTCGTTTTTCAGCTCATGTTTTCGACCTTTAACACTACTAGCCCTCATCCATCGTTGTATTCCGCCTTCGTTCGAAGTCGTTCCCGGGGAGGGGCAAGCCATTTTTGTACCTTGCCTGTTTTTTCATGCCACCTCTCTCACGCATGTACTAGACCTAAAATCCCCGGTCGCACCGCCTCCCGGATCTAGAAAGCGACTTGGGACTTCGGAATTGAGATTCATTGTAGAGGATAAAGCACGCCTTGTCTTGAATTTGAATGCAGATATGGCGTCAGCTTCTGACCTTTGTGTCCATTCCACATGCGAGAGGTCTCAGGAGCGCAAATTCGGCTGCTGCACTCCGGTTCGACATATATGATGCTACCGCGCAGAGTCTGAATTCGACGCGATACAAGATGTATGCAGGGAAGTTACTTTGTGTTGAAAAGGTCAAGAATAGATAATTTTATGGCAAGACCATATACTGTATGTGCATATCCATAGGTTGCCCACCGAGCGGGAGGCTATAGGTACAGCGATGGGAAAGGTGCGTGTGGTGTCTGCTGCCAGGCGCAGACAGGGTTACTGATAGGCCAAGAAGTGTTGGTAAAAGAGACGCTTCCATTACTATTCGTCAAAAACCTGGTTCCAAAAATGGTCTCCTGCCAGCTCAGCCCAGGCTAGCCGCCTTGATTGCTGCCGCCCCGTTTAGAGGCGCGCCCGTGGTTCTCATGTGTTCCCATGCCCCTTTTCCCCAGCGCCAGATATATTTCATAAAGAGCAACCCATACAAAAAACATTCAGTCCGTTGATCAAGCCTGCTCCATTCCCTCCGCCACGAGGGCGATGAGAGCGGCGCCGACTCCAGAGCCATCCTCTGCCTTTTCAATCGTGATGCGATCCGCATTCTTCTCGCCGACGCCATCGATGGCCCTGAACGCCTCGAAAATCATGTGACGGAAGCCAGGGTAGTATAGGATCAAGCTGCCATCAACGCCAACGTCGAGAGTGTCGCCCGCGGGAAGGTCCTTCAGCCTGTCCGTCTGCAGCACGATGGCGGCGACAGCAATGGCGGAAAGACGGGCGGCTCGCCGGCCAATGGCATCAGCCACAGCCTTGAACGCCTCCGCCTCCTCGAGCGTGCACTCCGAGACGCCGATCTTCTTGATCTCGTCGCGGAGCACGCCGAGATCGCCCTTAGCCGCGACCGACATGATGGCACTGTCCACGCCCCACTGCTTAAAGATGGGAGCGGTGGACTCGATGGTTGCTGTTGAGAACAGCGACCCCTTGCCGCCCTTGTTCATGTCCAGGATTGCCAGGCGGAGAATCTCGCCCAAGAACATACCTGAGACGCGCTTCTCAAACATCTGGACGCCAGGGTTGTTGCTGTCCTTGTCAAGTTTCTGGTCGTACGGGGTGTTGGGCAGCACGTTCAGCTGGTTGTCGAACGAGCCCCACTCGGCGTTGATGATCATGTCGCCGGTAGAGTTGTCATACTGGCCCTTGAGCGGCTTCTTAACGTTGTCAAGCTTCTCGATGTAGGCGCCGTTGGTGCCGGTGCCAAAGATTGCGCCGAGGACGGCGCCCTTGTCGCCCGGCGACAGGTAGGAGCGGGCCATGAGGGTGCCGACGGTGTCGTTGACCAGGGCAGCCACCTTGACGGGCAGGTGCAGCTTGTCGATCTCGTCCTGCAGAAGAGCGCAGACATCCTTGCCAACCGCGTCGGGGATGTCGAAACCTTTTGTCCACCGGATCAGGTAGCCCTTGTTAATGCCTATCTGGTCGACGGGGAAGCTAAAGGTGAAGCCCAGGCGGTAGACCTCCTCATTACGGAAGCCCTCTTCGGCGCTCCGGGTCATGCGCCTGCGGACCTGCTTCTCGAAGTGGTCCTTGTGGTGCTCCTTCAGGAACAGCTCGATCTGCTTGGCGAGGAAAGCGAAAAGGTCCTCTGCCTTGGGCGCCGTCATGAGGTGCTTGGGGATGGCGACTGGGGTCGAGGTGAGCTCAAACGTGTTGTCGCCCTTGAGGAGGACCGAGCACACCCTGAAGTTAGTGCCGCCGAGATCGACGGCCATGTACAGTCCCTGGCGCGGACACAAGAGTTAGTTTAGGCATTGGCAGGTTGGCGATAGTTTTGCGCCCTCGCAGCATGGCAAACGTACCTTTTCGGTGCCCTTGGGGACCGCGGTGACGTAGGTAGGGATCTGGCTGAGGCTAGTTCCATCCTTCTTCAGTCCCTCGTCTAAATTTATGAGGTGTCAGCAACCCAAAATCCCAAAGCTAGCTGGTGCGTGGCCGTTGGCGCATTGACCCAGGGCCGAGGCCATGACACCGGCGGGCATGCGGAAGAGCTTACCCATCTGACGCAAGAACTCTTTGACGCCCGTGTTCAAGTCGGCGTCCGAGAGGTCGAACGAGCCGACTATGCGCTTGGTCTCCTCGGCGAGAGCCATTGTGAGCGGCCGTGAGGTCGGGGGATGTGTTGGGAACGGTTTGTTTTCGCACACGGGTTCTGGCTCCGAAAGGCCAACGTGGACAGCAGGCGAGTGGGCTGCGCGGAGGAAGGAGTGGCCCTCTAATATAGACGAGTACTGGAGCTTGGCGTCGCGTGGTAGCACAAGCTGGAGACCCTGGCGACGGGGAAGGAGAGCCCGTTGGTCAGCACCCAAGGCTTGGGGGGAATGCACACACAGGTGAAGCCAAGGAAGGAGGGGTGACGAGAAGCACACGAGACCGGTCGGGACATGCGTTGGGAAGGAGACAATGGGGGCAGAAAAGAAAAGGAGCACGTCAAGGGAAAGGCTGAGGTAATTGAGGCACTTGAGGTACTTGAGGGATTGAGCACATGACGTCTTCAGCAAGGCAAGGTAGGCTGCAAAACACCAAGGCCAAGCGGGCCCTGGCGTGCTCTTGATGGGGATTGAGGGGTAACTGGAGAAGGGGTGAGCCCGCCGTGGCGGGACCTGTGGTCGCGTGCGGGGCAGGAAAAACGCGGGGCAGGAAACCCCCAACCACAGCGCGGCCCAGCTCACCCACAGTTTGGTCGTCCAGCCACTCTCAAGATTGTGGGAAGCATGCCGCGCGTGTGCAGGTGACGAACAAGAGGGGCCCCGGGAAGGCGGACGGAGATGGGCTGACTGAGAACTGACAGTCGAAAGGACAGGACGCAGCGCAGAACCAGGGGCAGGGGTGGAACAGAAGAAACGGAAAGGTGACGCATAGAGATTGGTCAAAGAAATCGAGAGACTTACTAAGGCAAGCAGGAGGAAGGCCAGAGAGACGATTCGAAGCAGGTTGAGCGACTGCTTGCCTCGGCTGTTGCTCCTAGATTCCTGGTCGTCGGCGTCCCTGTCGGCGGAGGCGGGCGCGAGGGTTTTATGGCTCCCGCGCGCGTCGTCTCCAGCTCCTCGCTCGTCCTGCTGCTTCCGAACTCTCCCCTCCACCACCCGAACCCCCTGTTGCGGGCTGGCGCCTCTCTGCCCGCTGCCGGGGCTACCACTGCGCGAATTTCCCCTCGGGCTGGGAGAAGCTCCCGCAGGAGACGCCATCGGCGGCATGGCCATGTCGCGAATTGCGCCGCCCTGGTGGCTGCACTCAATTTCTTTTATTTTTCTTTTCGTGGCTGGCCTTCGGCTCCGTCGGCGCGGATGGCCACCAAAGTGCGGGTCTTTGCCGATTCGACTGCGGAGCTGCTCGCCGAAAGATTGGCACTTGGGCTTGAGCCGTTGGGTTGGGTATTGAGATTGGCAGGTCGCCTGCTGCCCACCTAGCCGTCAGATAGTCGCCAGGACTCGGACAGCGGCAACCATGTAAGTACCCGGCCGAGGCTGGACCGGCTGGCTGATCGTTCCACCCGTGAGAGCAAAAAGGAATTGCCCCAGGCTCTTTGTGACGGGGGAGCCGCCAGTCCTTGAATTATATGTGATATGAGAGCGTTGGACAAGTCGAGGGCGACGTGGTGGGTGCGGCGCCGGCTCTTGTTATCGGATGGAGGGCAGCTATTCCAGGGTTTTTTCCTGCTCAGTGACGCAACAAAGAGCGCGAGGACAGGATAGGGGCCCAAAGTAGCGCCGTCGAGAGGATTGAATGCGCAGCGAAGAAAGAAGGCGTTGGTCTAGGTCCGTCTGGCGTCTATCATAGGAACTGAGAAAGAGGAGCTGTTATCTGCTCCAGTCTCTTGTCTCCTGTCTCCTGAAACCTAGTCGTGGTCGGACGGGAGCACCGCCAGCGGCAGACGACGTGGGATGAAGGCGCACGTACGATGAGAAAAAAACAAGGGGTATCACGCCGCGTCACGGAGAGAATGGGGAATAACAGACGACTTCGAATTGAACAAATAGCACGGGAACAAGGGAAACAAGACACTTGTGGGATTTGGATAAAGTCGAGTCGGACATTCAAAATTAAATCACGGCTCCTCCTCCCTCTCCCCCTTCCCCAATCCTGGGTGCTATCCTGGGAATCGTTGGGGAAATCTGGAGATGGTCAATCTAACCAGGCCCGTCGGCGAGCTCCCGCAAACGGGATTGGGTGCCGTTGGGGGTCAGCCCAGGGGGCCCCTGAACGCTGTGGGGGCTGGCAATCAGGCGCCGTGTCATGTCTGCTTCAGCGGTGTGATCAGTGCGCGCGACGGGGATCTGGACGCCCGGCTCGTGGGAGCTGGCGTCAATCTCGGACGGCACCGCGCAACGTCCCGACTGGCCCAAAGCCTAGCTTCCTTTGGATGTCGCCATTGGGAATCAAGGGTAAATTGCTATACCGTGTGTGTAAGGCGCCTTATAGGGGTTTCTATTCCAACGACCCTCTGGCTCGCATTCCATCCCAGCTCCATCTGGCTAGTTGCCATGTGGCTGGCTTGAGCACTCGCAGAGGCCTGCAGATGATCCACGCTGTTTCTTAGCCACCAGCGGTCAGACTGCAGGCCCCGGTCCAGCTTTGACAACCCATTCCTCCCACGTAGCGTACCACGTATTCGCCTCTCCGAAACTTGCCGGCTCGCCCGCACGGTTCGATGGTGGTGAGCAATATGGGATACGATACCAAGCCGCCGTCCTGCCCGCTCTCAGCTCAAAAAGTTACGCCTGATGACAAAAGAGCATGCCATCAAGAGCGCCGCGCACGTGGTAAAGACTCTAAAGCGGTGCATGTCACCTGGGGAACAGACGACCGCTCGTCAGTGTTTCGTCCCAGGTCCGTCCGAGCCTCTGCCAGGTGGGGGGAGGGCGTGGGGAGGGAGAGAGGGAGGGGGAGGGTTTCGAGAACCATCTCTTTGTCGCCACCGCCGCCGCCGCTGCTGCTACTCAACCCACCTTCCTCATCCAGCGCGTGGGCCACCACCACAAAGGCGTTGAGCGGGAACCGCATGACGCTGTAGACCCGGCCCCTCACCCCGTCCTCGACGGCCTCGCTCTTGAGCAGGCCCATGCTGGGGAAGTAGGCGCCGACGCAGGCTTCGACGACGCAAAAGACCCAGAAGAGCAGCCACTCGCGGCCCGCCGCCACCACGGCCGCCGACAGGCACGCGCTGACGCCCACCACGGCCGCCGCCAGGACCGCGGCCGCGGCCTCCCGCCGGCCCCCGGCGGTGGCGTGGCCGGACAGGGCCGACCCGGCCATCATGCAGCACATGAAGCTGCTGAAGATCAGGCCGAACGGCAGCTCCGTGGCGGCCCGGTCGCCGCCCGTGGAGACGCGGTCGCGGGCGGACTTGAGGGCGGGGGACCAAAAGAAGATGAAGAGGTACATGGACCCCTCGAAGAAGCAGGTCGTCAGCCCCAGCGTGAACATGTTGGCGTCCCGCACCATGACCGAAAGCCCACCCGTGACGCTGCCGAGTGCGCTGCCGCTGCTGGAGGCGGGCGCTGTGCCGTAGTTTTCTCGCTGTAACGACCTAGTTTGTAACTATTTCCAATGCCGTGCCAGAGCCGCACATCACCCACCCATCCTCTTTGTGACCAGGGCAGGGTAGGGGATCACGTCGACGTACCCAGTTCCTAAGCATAAAACAAGCCGCGGCGGCGCAGGACCCAACCCCCGCCACGAACGGCCACGTCCGCGCGCCGCCCATGGCCGAGACCAACACGTCGCCCGCGATGCCGGAAACTATGGCTACGACGCAGCTGAGCGCCGTCATGGCGCGGAGCACGTCGGCGAGCGGCAGCAGCGCGCGCGCCCCGTCCCCGAGCGCGCGGTGCTCCGACACCATCCAGGCCTCGAAGGCGCTGCACAGCAGCGTGGTGCCGACGCCGCCCGCCACGCGACCCAGCAGCAGGACGACGAGATCGCCGCCGCCGCCGCCTCCGCCGCCGCCGCCCCACAGCACCGACAGGCAGGCGGCCGCGTAGGCGAAGCAGTAGGCGAGGCACGCCGCCCGCCGCCCGTGCCGGTCCGCCAGGGCGCCCGCCACGCCGGCCGAGAGGGCGCCGGCCGCGAAGCCGGTGGCGTACAGGAGGGCGACGTGCCGCTCCGGGAGGCGCTTTTCGTACTTGTACACCGCGTATATGTATGGTCCCTGCGTTTTTTTTTGTTTTATTCTCGTCAGTGAGGGCTTGGCTTCGTGTTTCTATCGTTTCCCCCTGCCTGGGGTGCGTGCTTAGGTGCTTTACCTGCAGCCAGTCCGCAGCCACGGCCAGCGCGTATGCCACGAAGAAGTCGTACTTGAACTTGGAGGCCGCGGCCGTTGCCGACGGCAGAGACTCGGGGTCCTGGACATCCCGGTGCTGTAATAGGGGGACTGGTGCTGGCTCACGGGGCTGGACCTTCCATTGCTTATAGAGCAGGTAGGCGCTACCAGTGGCTAGGACTGCGAGGTTGACCTGGTAAAACATGCCTGTTCAGAGCTCTATCATATGTCTGATAGGTTCTTGCTTTCACCCGGCAGGTTTCCTCTCTGGTCTGGTCATTAGGGAGCACTATTTGACTATTCCGCAAATATGAAGGAGCGAGCGCTCGGATGTTTAGCAGAATTTGAGCATCTCCGTGTCCTTCCAACTTCGAGCCATTCCTCTGATGCGATTATCTGTACGCCTGTATGCTCTTTTGGATGTTGGACGAAGTTACTGGTTTCAGGGGTTTAGACACACAAAGACCTGCAGGGCAGGGACACCAAGAAGCACACAGATGACGCACAAGATGTAGCCACGAGAGAAACTACAGACAAACAAGGGGGAGACGAGGATAACTGTATAGTCGCTCCAGAGCAGGGTCGACTCGGTGGAAGAGATTATGCACAGGAAATGTTCCAGGCCAAGTCTAGGAGCACCCACAAAATACCATCTCGGAAACAAGGTCACGCGACATAGACTCTCAACGGCCGCAACGTAGGTCGCCGCGAGGCAGAGGCAGTAGCAGGGCACCCGCACCCGGCGGAAACAACACCAGCCTACCAAATCCTGTGTGAGGATTCGAAACGCGCGAGGGTGGAGACTTGTTTTTCCGGGTAAACAACTTACAAGACACAGACCTGGTGGGTAGCCGAGCTTGTGTCCCCCAAGCTCGCGACTTCCCCCGTCTTTGAACGAGACCCCCTGGGCGGCAGATGGTCTTGCATCGACGATGGGAGGGTCCCTACGGAGCCTAGACGGCCACATCGGTGTTGCTTTGTACTAGTAGGCAACTCGGCGCCCTGGCTGAGCAATGCATTGAGCCGGCTGAGAGAAGCTGTTTTGTCACCAGCACAGGGGGTGCGCTGACGGACGGGAGGGGCGTTTGTATAGGTAGGCAGATGGACGATACGGGCAATGATGCGCGTCCGAAGTGCCTGCATGGCCTTGCGTCTCCCCCCGCGGACGAGGTTTCCCCCGACTCCCGGGACGAATAGAGGACATTGGACGCCGCAGAAACGCGTCTGCATGATCCTCTCAAGACGCGAGCGAGAGTTCGGGCATGTCCGTGCCCAGACATTCCTGCCGCGGGACTTCACCACGTGAGGATGAGATGGCAGGTGCGCTGGGGGGATAAAAAAAAAAAGCCAGCCTCGGCGGGATCCTCACCAAACATGCCCGGCTTCGCTGCTAACGGCATGGGGTTTAGACACTTGGCCGACCAAGGCCTGGACGATGAAATCTCGGCAAGGCAGAGGAGACCTGGGAGCTTGAAAGCTGCGGGCCAAACAGGACGGAGAGCGGGGGCCGGGGGTGTTGCGTTTGGCAAGGATGCGGCTTGAGGGGATCTGAGGTGTCGTGTGATAGTTGAGGGGACCTGTTCCTGAGAGGGTTTCCGCGTCAAAAGTGTCATGGCAAAGTTGGGATGGAAGAAAATGGCCCGCACCAAAATCAAGCCCCCTGCCAGGTTTCAGGAGGCTTTGAAGACTTGGGGCCACGCGAGCCCTAGGACATGGTCGGCAGTCGAAAAAAAATGGGGAAAGAGACGTTTCGGATAATGTGCCTGGAGGACGGCTTTCCAGCATGCCAGCCAGCATGCCTCGCCCGTCGACCCGGCCAGCTTCCAGCGAAGGGGCCGGCATGCGGCTGAGCGGCAGCTTTTCCTCTCTCCTTTGGGCCAGCCTTCCACGATTCTAATACCTCCGCGGCACGGTCCGTCTATTTGATTGGACAGCAGGGTGGTGTTTTACGACTGTACTTTTCGGACGAGCTGAGAGATCTGTCAGCTCAGCCACCCTTTCTTTATGTGGCCTGTTCGATTGATGAATGGCCACGAGAGCCGAGCTCTAGGAATCCCCGTAAGCGTGCAGAGAATTGATCTCCCTCAGAAACCACCCCGCAATTTGGCCCGCTCACGACGGAAACCCCACCGCCCGCCCGTTGGCCTCTGTCTGGTCCTTTCCATGCCGCTCAGTTCAGGGTTGCTAACTCCATACAGCAGAGGCGGGGCTACTGTGTAGGTTGGCGTTATCAAATACATTGCTGACGCCGGCCCCGGTTCACATTTGGCCTATGTAATAATACAACGGTAGGCAAGTCCGACGCAGAATGGAATCCCACATTTCCATGCATGGGGCGGGGGATGATGGCTGCACTGCTAGAGCATGTCATTCATTGTCCGTCCTTTGCCCCCATCCCACGTTGTCTTTCGGATCGCCTCTTTCCGCCGTCACCTGGCGCCTGCGCCGCACATGCGCGGGGGAAGGGAGGCGAGGGGAGAACAGCTTCAAAGAAAATCGGTCTTGGAGGAGCGGTAGGAAACAAAGACTTGAGAGAACACGTGTAGCTAGCGAATGAATGGCCGGCTTTTCGGAACCCTCCCTACCTTAGCTTTCTCGGTGACAAATTCGCACTGTGACCCAGTTCAGTTGTGCCCCTGGAGAAGCAGGTGGGCCCCCCGTCAGATGGACAACAGCTCGCGCTGCCATGCGACCGGGGGGTCGAGACCAGCATGCTGATGATCCAAAGGGGCACGTCTTGGGCTGATACGACGTTGCTTGCCGCAGTGACGCTTGATTCCAAGCAGCGCGGAAGTTCTCCGAATCTCCAGGGATTGGTATGGGATCTGGCAGCAATCAGGATTGCCTGGAAAGGCTGAGCAGAGGATGCCCGGGTCTTGACCCTGGCTAGAGAATGTGTCCGACGGTTGGTGTGTTGCCAAGTGTGGTTAACTGCCCCTGGACTCCAGCCCGACAGTCTCCGCCCTTTGGTCTGAAGGGAAACGTCCACGACGGCTCAGATTATCGAGACGAGCAAGTCTGCAACAGTTGCCGTGTTGATCGAGCCGTGCAACCATGTTCCTGACCAACACGACCACGACACTAGGCACCTGGACGCTTGCCCCTCCCTCCCTACTTCTCCTCTCCCTTCCCTTGTTTTCCCAAGCACGCACACCCAACTTCCCTCCTCTTCTCCACCGCCTGTGGGAGGATGCACGGCACGCACACCAGTCTGTTGGCCTGCCTCAGCCTTATGCGCCTGGAGCTTGGTAGCGCTGTCAGCTGGCGCACTGGCGTGCAAAGCTGGGATCGGGTCCGGCCCTCAGCCAGCAGCAGGGGTGGCTGCCCCTCCATCGGAAAAAGCCTTGATTCCACACCGCATTTACAGCCCGAAACGGCTTGTGAGCCTTGCCAATACTGTGCTTTTGCAGCCCGCCGCTGCTCCTTGACGGTCAAGAGCGCTTCGGCAACTGAAAACCGACAGTGGGTCCTCCTGGGGACAGAGACAGTAACAAAGCACGTCCTGAGTTCTGGGGCCTGGATCCTTGGTCCTGGGTCTTGTGAATTCCGGCCGTTTGAGTCGCTGGGCAGCAATTAGCCTTTCCCCAGCGCTATCTCCAGACAAGCACACGGGACACGTACAGTCCAACCCGCACAGTACGCACCACAGCGGCGCCGTAGCCAGCAGCCCCACTCTAGCTCTTTCGGCTGAGCCCAATTTGGAGCCCCCCAGCCCACCTCTAGCGCAGCCCACGCCTGCCGCTTCCCTGGGGTCTCGCGCAGTGCTGCGCTGGCTGTGTCCCTCCTGCCAACGACGTTTGCCTGGTAGGACTTGGGCGAAAACCAAGCGATTTTTCAAGCAGAAAAAAATACACGAGGAAAAAAAGTCCTACGTCGCCCGTCATCGGCCAGCTCACCTAGAGCCCCTCTCGTCGTCGGTGCAGAAATCGCACACGTTTGCGCCCGCACCGCCCGTCTCCTCCACAAGTCCACAGCCAGCCTGCAGTCAACGAGAAGTCCACAGTCCACCGGAGTCCTACCCAGTCACCCAGTATTACCTACCACCACTACCACCACCACCGCTACTGCTCCTACTACTGCTACCACATCCGGGAGTCGCATCCAGCTGCTCCTGCCTCTGCTGCCGTCGCTACCTCACACTTGCCTGGCCCCCCGCTTACTCGCGCGCTGCCACCCCTCCCTTATCGTCCTCCACCCCTCTCTGCTCCTTCGCCGCCTTGAGTCTCGTCCTGGTCCCGGCGCCTGTCCTGCGAAGGGACCCTGCTTATCGGCCCCCAGCCCGCCAGCCTCTTGGGCCTGCTCACCCGCCTTTTTCTCCAGCCGACACCTCACATCAGACGCGCACCCCCTTGGGCTTAGGTCCCCTCAGGTCCTACCTAAGCTCAATTAATCTCGCCTGTCTCGCCGTGCCCTTTCTTCCGTCCTCTTTCTTTTTTTCTTTTTTTTTCTATTCCCCTCCTCGTCGGCGCCCCGTTCCATATGAGTTCTATGAACTCGCGCTTCAAAGCCTTGGGTTTTGGTAAACGACGATCCACAGCCAGCATACAAGGCCCCGAGGCCCCAACGTCGCACCAGCAAATTCCGCAGCAGCAACAACACCAACAACACCACCCGAATACCCCTCCCCCTCCTCCCATCCCGCCGAACTCGTCCGGTCCACCACAACTGCCGCCAGTCTTCCCCGTCCGTCCCGGGCCAGCGCCCTCGATCCAGTCCTCGTCGTCGCAGCAGAGCCTTGCTGGAATGAATCACCCAGGCGCCGGCCCCCGCCCGCCTAGTTACACGGCAAACTACCCGCCCCAGCCCGGCGGCCCGGCACCTCCCCTCGGCCGCACCAGCCCCCTGACCAACCAAGGCCCAACCCGCACTCCGCCGTCCCAAATGGTTGGCGGGCCTCCTCCGATCAACACGGGCGCCCCCGGCGGCGTCACCGGCTACCCTCCGCCCATGGGTGGCCCGCCGCCCATGACCAACGCCCCTCCGGGCTATGCTGGCGCCGCCGGCTACCCCCCGCCGGGCCCTCCCCAGCCCCAGGGCAACATGCCCATGCCCGCCGCCTATGGCAGGAATCCCGCTGCCGAGGTCGAGGGCAACAGCAGGAGCAAGGCCCAGCTGATTGTCGGAATTGATTTTGTATGTTTTGCTTTCGTCCTTGATATGTCTGCTCCCGCTTTCTCCTCCTCATTCGCTGACCCTGCCCATCCCCGATCCTGCATAGGGCACTACGTTTTCTGGTGTGGCTTTCGCTTTCGCGACCAACAACGAGGCGAAGGAGGACATCATTACCGAATGGCCTGGCGCCGGTTCGTACACAAAACAAAAGGTCAGTTCCCGTGCCTCTTGTCGGCACCACCGCCAGGACCCAAGCGCCGGCGTTGCCATAACCGATATGCCTGCAGAAGCTGACGGTGTGGTCCAAACCACTCCTTCCGTAGATTCCCACCGTCCTTTACTATGACCAGTACCAAAAGGTGGTGGGCTGGGGCCCCGATATCGCCGATGCCCTGGCCCCTACCGGATACCCCAAGCCCGGAGTGCAGAAGGTCGAGTGGTTCAAGCTCCAGCTGATGCTTTCGGGCAACACGTACATCGACCCCATCAACCTGCCGCCCCTGCCGCCCGGAAAGTCGGAGATCGATGTAGCGGCCGATTACCTATTCAAGCTGCGCCAGGCCATGCGATCGGCGCTCCAGAAAACGCTCGGCGAGGTCTTCAACCGCGAAGAGCGCAACATCCGCTACTACCTGACGGTGCCCGCCATCTGGAACGATGCGGGCAAGGCGGCGACCAGGGCTGCCGCCATTCAGGCCGGGTTCCTGCGCGACGAGAACGACAACAGGTTGACACTAGTCAGCGAGCCCGAGGCTGCCTCGCTCTTTTGCTCCAAGGCTGGCCTGCTAAACCTGAAGGTGCACGACGCGGTGCTGATTGTCGACTGCGGTGGTGGCACCGTTGATTTGATCGCATATGAGGTCGAGGACGAGAACCCCTTCACCGTGGCCGAGTGCACGGCTGGTTCGGGTGACTCGTGCGGTTCGACGGCGCTGAACCGCAACTTCAGCAACATCCTGCGCACCAAGATCCGCAAAATGAAGCTGCCCGACGGGTCCAAGACGGCAGGGCGTGTGTACGCCAAGTGCATCATGGATTTCGAGAACAGGATCAAGGCCGATTTCCGTAACAACGGCCAGAAGTGGGCTGTCGACGTGGGCATCGAGGCCGAGTTCCCCGAGGCCGGCATCGAGGAAGGCTATATGACATTCACCAACGAGGAGATCCTGCAGTGCTTCGAGCCCGTCGTCAACCGCATTCTGGAGCTGGTGCGCAACCAGATCATCGCCATCCAGGCCCAGAACCGGACGCTGCAGAACATCCTGGTCGTCGGTGGTTTCGGTGCGTCTGAGTACCTTTTCCAGCAGATCAAGCTCCACGTGCCGCCTCAGTTCCAGTCCAAGGTCGTCCGGCCCATGGACTCGGTAGCTGCCATCGTCAAGGGTGCCGTCACGGCGGGAATCACGGAGCGGGTCATCACGCACCGTGTGGCGCGCAGGCACTACCTGATGGCGACGCTGCAGCCCTTCAAGGAGGGTTACCACCCCGAGGCGTACCGTGTGCCTTCGCTGGACGGAAAGGACAGGTGCAAGTTCACGCGCCAGATCTTTGTGCAAAAGGGCCAGAAGGTCAAGATTGGCGAGCCCGTCAAGGTCTCCTTCTTCCGCCAGGTCGCACCGGGCGCCACCCTCATGTACGAGGACATACTGTATGCGTGTGACGATGACGTGTGCCCGGAATACACTAAGGATCCCCGTAAGTTTTCTTTTCCTGTTGAATGGCAGACCTTGGGGGATGAAAGACTGACCTTTTGTGCTCCGGAATCGTAGGCATCAAGGAGGTTGTCACGCTCACCTCTGATCTCTCGCGTAAGAACCTTGAGAAGGACTTTGAGCGCATGGACACACCACAAGGAACCTTTTACAGGGTGTACTTTGATATTTACCTGACGCTCGACGGATCCGAGTTCAGTGCCGAGCTGGTCTGTCAAGGAGAGGTCATGGGACGGTGCAGGGCCCGCTTCAGATAGAAGGTGTCGAAAATCCAAGCGGGACGGGGGCTATCTTTTTGGTTCATACCAGGGCTGTATAAGGGGAAATGGGGGAGAGGGCTGTCCTATTATATCCACCTATTCTTATTCCTTGATGACCCGCTTCTCGTTCTCCCCTACTGTTTCTTCTTCCATATCCTCCATTCCGCGATTTCTTTCATGTCTTGCTTTATTTCTTGTTTGACATTCCAGCAAGCTGCAGGTTTATAGAGCCTGGCCATGCATGAAAGCTTCCCTCCAAAAAGGGTCAGATCTCGGGCGCGTGTAGGACATTTGGTTTTTATTGCCGGCTTTGAATAAATGGATACCTACCTCAAGATATATACTGACGTCATGGCGGAGAGGAAAAGCAATGATGAAAAACAAAAGAACAACCACCCTGGTGCGAAGTGCCGTGAAGGAGGAGGGGGAACGTATCCGTCCATCTTGCCAGTCAGGCATTTGTCAGCCCGCCAAGAGCTTGGATGAGCAAAGAGGAGGGGAGGCCATATGAGGACCAAGTAGAAGTGAAAGATGGATAAGGAAGAATCCCCGACGATGCAATAGTACGGCCGTTAAAAAGACGTTATTGCTCGGCAGATGTATGTGTGAAGCATGCAAGGGAGGAGCTTGATAAGGAAATCCAGGTTTTAGGGCTGCTGTCACCCCCACGTTGGATGACAACGGCACAAACGGGTGGCGGCAGGACAGAACGTGACAGGGGAGACAGGAGGAGGAGGAGGAGGAGGGGGATCCATGGGCGTCTTGTGTTAAGGGCGGGCTTGCATGCCACCGCCAGCCGCTTGCGCTCTTGCTCTGAGAGCGTGGGGTGTTGTATCAGGTGAGTTGTGCATACACACCTACCTACCTTGACGTATCGTGATGCTTTGTTGGTTGGTGGGAGGTGGGAGGTGGGTTTGCGAGGCTACCTGCGTGTAGGAGAGGGCAGGAATAGGCTCGGCCTTCCTCTCTCGGCTTTTGTCTCTGGGGGGCGGGTTCTGTCTCTCGTCTTTGGGACAGTGACTTGATGTGACCAAGGCCACCACAACTCCTCCTTGCGTGTTTTTTTCCTCCCCCTTTTTTCGGCCTTTGATAACATGTGGTCTTGTCTCCGGAGTTGCTTTTGTTTTGCCATCCTCTCCCGGCCCAGCTTGCTTGCTGCCCAACAGCCTTGCTTTGGTATACTTTGTCCATACGTGATTCAACCCGATTCGAGCTCCGGCAGCTACCTGGCGAATACTCCCGAGTTGGCCTTGTCCGTACAGCGTGGAGACGAGTACCGGGAATGTATACAAGACGGTGTACAACGTGGAAGTCTTATAACAACAGACATGGGCAGACGCGGCGGAATATAACGCTCCTCAAGTGGGAGAGAGTGTTCATGTTCATGTTGACCGAGTGGGCCTTCCGTCTGCTGCATAGGTAGGTGTAGGTACCTAGGCAGGTACATAATTTGCTTTTCCATGTTTTCCTGTGCTGTCCCATTGTGTGCCCACCCGTCCTGCTGGCGAGCTGCAGCTCGTGTATGTTGTGGGTCGCAGGGCGGGACAAACTCGGCAGGGAGGATGGCGACATGAACCCAGACGACATTTTTTTTTTTTTTTTTTTGGCGTGGTTTCTTCTTATCCTCCATGTATTTACTTACAGAGTATACATGAGGAGAAAGACGGGTAAGGCGACTTGGGCCGGACCCGGCCGGTAGATCATGGCACAATTGGCCCCCACAAAACAGCCCATGACGTTGTGTTTGCTATTCCCTTTTCCCTCATCCCCCTCTCATTTCTGCACTTTTTGCGCTTTTGCTGTTTTGGGCCGCTGTGGGAGGAAAGTGGGTGGTGGGCAGCCTACCAGCGAGCCTGCAGCTGTCTCTTGTCGATCCCCACGCCTTCGCACACCCCCTGTCCGTCCTGCCCACCACATTTTTCCTCGTTTCTTTTTCCTGCCCAGCCCAGCCCAGCTCAGTTGACCCAACATCCGGAAACGACAAGTCGTATTCCGGTATATCGCTTCTCAGCATATACCTAGGCATACACACCACATAGCAGGCAAACATGCCACGCCAGGCACCCCACGTCCCGCGGCTGGCCAACGTCGCCCTGCATTGACC